CTGTGTTTAGTCGGCTGGAGTTCTGCTTGTGTTTCGTTTTTAGTGAGCAGTTTTCTTGTCGTTCAGTATTATTTTCACACTGGACCTCACTTGCATATGATCGGAAACAGATAGCTGAGAAGTAGTTTAGACATTAACCATCTAGTATACATCGACTTGATAAACACTGGATTGTATTATTTCAAATTTGTCAGGGTATCATGTATAAATTGGGAAATTTTGACTGATCCTCATCTTACCTTTCAGTCATTTGTGGGAATACAGAGTAGCTCTGCTGCTTGGTGAACACTGTCACATATAACAAAACGGTGACTTTCACATATCCTGAATAAAACACACTTATCATTTGTAGATTTCAGGATGATACTGTCTCGACGTGACAAGAAACCGATGGCGGTTATGGATCTTAGCAACCTTGTTAAGGTTACCCTATGATTTATCTTTGTTTAACACTGCTAGAGAGAAACTGAGTGTCATTAGCGTAAATGAACAGAAGATGCCATAACTGAGTCTTTTGTAAAGGGATATCTTTCGTGTATCAATAAATCATATCTGCTGTCACAAGGAAAGATGTACTAATGAATAAAGTAATGAGAACAAACGATACTATGAACTAATCTGAGATATTCAGTTATTTATTTCTTTTGTAGTAATTGGAGTAATCTTTCAAAATCTGCATCGGTAAACTTTTCAAATACTTTTCAATCGTTTTGCTTTTCAGTGAAAAATGTTGTGCTATAGAGAAATGATTGTCGATAGGATAGGTCTGAACAGTATGTCAACCTGATGTGTTTTCAGCAAATGATACATGAATGATAAGAAGAATCCACTGTGTTTCAACCTTATTCATTCTAAAATCGTAAAGAATTGGCAAGCAGTAGGTAGCATTTACTAATGCAATAACGACCACTTTGGTTACTTGGAAAAGTCCTTTTGGTTAAAGACAAATTTTTCGATGTAGATTGGTATTTCTTCGAGATTTCGGACTGAGATAATACGAACATCTGAAAAGTATTGACGACTGAAATAGTTAGACTTCTTGAAACAACTAAAACCTGACAATTATCTCTTATTTTATCGTGCTGAGATTCTTCTGACATTATGCTCCTGAAGAACCATTTCCAAGACAATTAATCCTATTGAACATTGAACGCAACGAAGAATATATATATATATATATATATATATATATATATTCACTGGTCTTAGCCCTTTCTGCAAGCTTCTAGAGAGACGATCCCTATCGAGTTAGTTCTATAAGCCGATCTGGAACTCATATGTTTGATCATACGACTTTCCATGAAAATGTGACATAAGATAATTAATTGTTAGTGTTATCAGAGAATTTCAGGTTAACTTGAAGAATGTAGGAGTTAATGCATCACTCCATAACATATAAGAAAAACAACCGATGAAATTAATTCTGCAGGGAATAAGAACACAACTGCAGAAACAACTAATCACGTTGGAAATGGAAAGACAATTTATCAAGTTTCTTTTGCTTCGATTGCCTTAGCTGATTTTTGTCTGAAATGTTTACTCATTATTTTGTTGACAGTAGTCAAATATTCCTGAATAAACCTCATGACTCAAAGAACTCAAATTCACTGAAATACCCCTGTACGATGAAAGTGGCCACAGGTAAAAATAAACACAACATAAAACATTACTTGGACTCAGGAATATGGAAAAAAATAACTTTTTGAATTAAAGCTGCATTAAATATTATAAAACATCTAAATAGGATCTTTTGTAAAACATTTCTATACTGATTACGACGCCTAACATGATATTAAAATGTTACCCGACCAAAATCACAGCTGAAAAAACAATGCAATCTAAACATCCACATCCTTAGCTACAACTACTCTCCAACATTCCTACGACTGTGTAACAAAACCTTTGATTTCATTTTTCATTTTTAGAATCTGGTTAGTCATACGAATAATCTTTATTTCGACACAGGATATCAGTGGTTGAGTGTCATGATGTAGATAGATCTAATCAAGAATTCAAACAGTTTGAGAAAGTTCATAACAGGTCCTTAAAAGTGTTTACAATCAAAATATTTGAGGAATGAGAATCTGAAAGAATTTGTCGTCTACTGCTTGAACCTTAAAAACAGTGGGATTCTCATTCACTTTTTCGGTATGTATCGACTGTTGTTCATTTTAGTATAACGTATATCAGTTGTTATACCCTATCCCTTCAGGCACAATTGGCAATGTTTACTCGTCGAATTTTCAGGTCCGTAGTGAGAAAAGATGCTGACAAGCTAGGGTGGATTATACCGATTGCTTTAATTGAATATCTCTACCGACAGAGGGTACTGATAGTTTACAAGCCACTTCAGGCAAAATGTTAGGTGATGCTTAAGAAAATCCTTGGCCCATGCAAGTTAACTTCATAAAGGAATTACAAGTATCTAAGCTTCCCGTTGGAAAATGAAAGGTGAAACGTCTAAAATGCAAGCTATTTTTTGTACAAGTATAAAAATTTTGATTTTTTATGCTAATTTTTATCATTTTATCAGTCCAGTTGCATATCTGAGTAGGAAGGCTGTACTTTTGAAGGAAAAATAATGTTTGCTAAACCTTTTGTTAACAGAATGATTTTGTGTCATAACTCTGATGCTGTTAATTTACTCCCAGGATCTTTCCATGACAAAGAAGAATCGTAACTGTTTGAACTGATGTCCGGTGAGTAACCAATCTGGCTATATAGCCCCTAGGACTTTCCACTTATTAAAGTCTACCCAAAAGACAGATAGTTCAGTCGGTGAGCGAAATGATGTGATGTTGCACTGTATACTGTATTTTGGTCTCAATTATAGGTAGTCAGTCAATGGGAACTCTCCTGTCTACGCGTCTTACTTTCCGAAGAGTGTCAGGAAGCATGGATAATCGATTCAAGACTTCTTACTGATTAACTCCTAATATAGAATAAGTATGTCAGATAAAATTCAAACCCATCATTATCTGTAATGAATTCAGTTAAATGGTGGAGAGGATTTGGCTAAAAATAATAACTGTGCATCAGTCCAACGTATAAAACACTTCATGGTAAGATTATGAACATCTTCGTGAAATATGAATTACCACCATAAACTTCCTTAAACCATTGTCTCAGACCAGGACCTCAGGTTTTAGTTCACCTCTCGAAGGCTGGTTTCGATCCATCTCAGTGTCGAAGGTGTTGATAGCCTGAACTGTAGAATACCTTGAAAATGCAACTTTGTTCTTCCATGTTCACAGCTATATCATATTATTTGCATGAGCAATATGTTAAATAATACCAGTGGAGCTGGGGATTATTTGAGACTGAAACCTAAAACTACAACTTAATAACAATAATACGAGTTCACATGTCAACTTAATAGACAGAATATCTGTTTTGTTTTATTTTTATCACCCAAAGAGACTACCTTACTCACCAGTATCTTGAAATAAGCATACTGCTTACAGAGAAGTCCAATGAAAAAGTAAAAACTGTTTATTGGGGAAATACGAGCTGTATTGGACCTGAAATGAAGTCACATTAGCAAACATTCTCCTTTATGGCATTCCAGTGTGCAGTGTTCTTGCTTTTCATCTTCACTCTAGAATCTTTACCAAACGCTCATTATCACTTCTTGCGTTTTCTGGCTTTGCTATGCATACTACTGATATACATTCTTATAAGTAATGTTTTAAGCACAGTGATACACCGATCAAATTGTACATGAACTATCTTTAATTCTCTTGTTTATTAAGCTGAACAAATTCACCAGGTAATAAAAATTGGTAGAGGTTCAACCGCGATAGAATGTAGACTAAAGAAAGTAACACTCCGTAACTAAGTTCGATATGCATGTACAAAACAGTGGGCCATAGTCATGACGGGAAGATTGTGACACTTCTTGACTGTCGGTTTTGAACTTACCCCGTTCATACATGGATACAAATTCAGTGTTTCAGTGAAGAAAAATCCTATTCAGGAAATACTAAAGTAGCGTAACAATTAAAACAAGTCACTCAACAAAGTCGACTTCAGCAACTACTATGACCTCAATCCGAACCCTGAACTTGTCAAATATGGACTTTATAATTTTTCTCTAATGTCAGCCTAAACCGCCTCCTTCTTCTTGTTTAATACCTAGGCATTTATATTTCGTGTATGCTGACCAGTCTCCCTCAAACACGCCAAAAACACAATAGTTCATAAGAGAAGAGTTAGAGAACCTGAGGTTCATGATGCCGAGGTCGTTGAAATTCTCAGATAGACATTTCTTAGTCTCCATTAAAAGTGTGTGGGTTTTGAGTCTAGCTGTCATTTTTCGCTTCATAACGTGACCATCTTTCAAAAAGTAGAAGTACTGTGCCTTAATGTATGAATAATGAAACTAAAATTACGGAATTATGGAAATTACTATATCTGTCTCAAGCACACAGATCACAACTGAATGTTTTGTATATCAACTTGACTTCGGTCATCCCTACCGTGTTTTGTATCCAACACCGTTTACATGTCTCTTAAAGCAAATTGGTTAAAAAATGTTTACGGCATAACTGAGTTCCAGTTGCTGCTGTTTACGAAATACGAATACGAAATAATAATCGCTAATGAGTATGATAGGATCGATAAAATATATCAAATGTAGTTGGCTCTTATTGGTTGATAGAGCGTAAAACATAATGAATAGGAGAACAATCTTTGCGTGTTTTCTGCTCATTCTCCCTGTTAAGTTCTGCAAATGAAAATAGCAAAAAAGGAATGAAGATGACTCTCATTGGTCAATTCGGTTATGACCTTCAGTTCTCCTCTCTTTCCTTGCTATCGACTTTTGCAGGTAGGACTACAATAGTAATAAAGTTTAAACGTAACTAAGTTCTGTTCTGTGTGGAGGCAACACCATTTGGCAGCAGTCAGAGCTACAGGACAGCTGTGAGCACGTGAAGAAGCAGAGCTGACAATCCATATTCTAGTCATTTCTGCATAAGGACTAAAAATAAATAGCTAGAATGCGTTATTTTACAAAATATATTATCTTATCACTTTGTTTTATTGTCGATTACAATTTAATATATGGTCGAATGGGATATTACAATCATTTTAAACGCTTTGATTCCGGTTTACTGTCAGAAGGTCTACCGATGTGGCTAGAAAAACGTGAAGAGTTCAGAAATCCTTATGATTATTATGGTAAGTTGTTGGTGGCTTCCTTTTAGTAGCTTACGATTTCAAATTTACTGAAAACTTCTTGGGGCTAAAGATTGTGTTGATCAGTTATTCAGATTTATTATCTAATTGACTGCATTGAATACAGTTTTTCATGACATAGTATGAAACAAAGGATGACTGTGAAACTGCGAGAAGTCAGTAACTGTTCTGCATCAGACTGGAATTTATTTGTGTGCTAGATGCAAAACATTTCGGGATCCAACCCAAGACCTTCAGTTTACTAATTATTTGGAATATTTTGAAACAAGTTAATTCCCTAAACCATCAACATTCACAAGTAACTTGTGTGCTAAATGGGATTCCCTAAGTCCTAGTGAAGCGGCAAAACCTGAGGGAATCAAGGAACTGAGTTAAGCCGATAATTTGCGTATCATCCGTTCAAATATAATCACATTGTCTCAAAGGTTGCTTGTTTTGAAACACCAGATAACATTTGAACCAATATCTGGCTAAGCTAAACTAAGCAACTGGATATTATAGCAAGACTGAATAAGGAAGGGATAGCCATATGTATCAAATTATGTTTTCTTAATTTCCTTTGAGATTTGATGATGACGGATTGAACTGTGTCACAAATAATTTGTAATTATTTATGTTTATTGGCCTTTAGCTTTGTTCACTCTTCTTGTTGTGTCATCTCACTTATGGATACAGTAAATTATTTGAATGGAGTGGTGAATAAATAAATGATGGAATCAGGGAAAATGTCAAACTTAGAATTCAATATTTCAAGAATACCAGTCGTTAATGTAGCACTCTTCAGTGCAGAAAATGTTTTTATTCTGTTATCACTGTTGCTTAGCGTAGTGTTAGATTGTTACGAGGGTAGTTGTCGTTTGTCCGTCAATGTATCTTGTTCATTCAGCTGTGTTTCCCATTTTCTTCAGTGGGTGGTCATTGGAATAAGATCGCTAGCCTCTAATATCCAATGCAATCACCTTTTTCCTGTTATCGTGATATCTATATGGTGGGAATAGGTGACTCTTGGAGTAACCTGGAAACCGCCAGTCGTGATTCACATGTGTTATTTTTACAGATAGGCTATTATTGTTAAAAATGTCTTAGATCAGGATAACTCAGTGGAATTAGTCCACTGTTGAAAACAATCTAATTCACATAAAACTAACCTTTCACTTAAGAAAACAAAGAATTCCCAATCACTTTATTCTGAGACTAGTTATCAGTGCATACCTCTGATGAGTTTCAGAATAGGACAAAACAATCATGTACTACTTCACTGGTCTTAATTCACGATTGACTTCGTACTAGAAGTACATACTTTACTGGATGCTAGTTGGTAGGAGGCAACAGACAGGAAACCTTGGATCTGGGTTTAACGCTTGTTAGCACTTGTCAGCGAGGCGTATCTGCAACTTCCGCGAAACTGATGCTCCTGTGAGATATAAAACCGCGTCACCCAGTGTTTTAGTCAGCGGCCCAAATAGCTCAGTGGTAACATCGCTGCGAGTTCATATCTCATAGGGGGCATCAATTCCCTAGAAGGTACAGATATGTCCTGCTAACAAGTGTCAACAAGCGTGAAACCTAGGTCCAGGATTTCCTGCCGATTGCCTCCAACCAACCAACATCTATCTAAGGGCACCTCGATGGTGAATTGGCTAACCTGCTGGCTACATACATTACAGAGTGATCGAAAGGATTCGTTTAGCAATCGGGACTGGAGAACATGAGACTGGTTGCCCTCAAGTGAGCAATCAATGTACATAGTTTGTAGTAATCCTGGTTATTTCCTACTGAGATAAGTTAGGCAGATATGCGTTCATCTGAAGGTAAACAAAGTTTGATCACGATGATATTTGTGGGGAAATAAACATAATTAATGTCGCTTCATTCAGCAAGAAAAGTGATGGTTGGTATGAGAGATAACAGTCTTTCAGGCTAGTCAACAGCCTTAATACACCACAATAAACGCCCCCGGTACACAGGGTATCCATCATTTTTAATTTATCGCGAAAACAACAATGTAACAAACCTTCATAACGAATGACATCTGTTGAAAAAAAGTGAAAAACATTCTTCTCTTTGTAGCAGTGTCAGCTAGATCCGAGTTTTTTTCAAACTATCAACAAGCCTCTAAATGCAACAACTTCACTTGATGAGTCCTAAAACTGGAAGAAATGAACATCACTAAATCAAACAAGTCAACACTGAAGTTGAACACTATGCTGATGTAATCAATGGCACCATTCTGATATCTGTACATGGAATTTACCTAACGAAAGATATTATTAAATTCTGCTGTATTTGTTGACTAGAACCACTTGAAAACTTTGGAGGACTGAATAAACATTTCCTCCTTGTTTCGAATCTGTCGGTATGACAGATTTCCAGCCCTGAATAAGATCGACCTAAAGACTTTCAATTCGTCTGATATAGAATATTAAAAACTGTAAAATAATATCGAAAACACTGGATCGGTAGATTACACTTTCTTGAACGATTTAACTTTCAATAACGTCTCAGGTAAAGTTAAAAAAGTTAAAAAACTCATCGTTAATACTTACAGCACAAAATTGTTCTGGATTATCTCGAGATTTCATATCAATCTTAGCTGTACACAAAACAAACCAGCGACACCTTTTGCGTCTTTCACTGTCTGCTGTGGAAAAGCATATGTGATCTGACTTTCACGGAAGTAATCAACTTGACTAGTAGGTCTAAAACTGATTTTGACAACACTCGATAAATCATATTAGAATGCTTGGTACAGTTCTAGGTTGACTCACATGCTGAATACTTCACTGGGAAATCACTCATCCCCCTTCTTCATATCTGACTGGCTAACATCCGCATGATAATCTAATCATTTAACATTGAGCACTGAAGATATAACATAATTTTGCTATGACACAGTTTTGTGTCTGAAGGTCACTGCTTTTACATTTACTCAGTGTCAGCAAAAGACCAACTGGAATGGTAAGATATAACATTACCAAAACAATCACTAAAAGTTCAATGTGACCACTCCACATTTTCCTCATTTTTTCAGACATTGTGAAAGCACTAAGGGAGAGGAACAATTTAGAAGTCGATGAACTGAATAAAATAATCAGTCAGAGTGATATTCATCATCCCATGTTGTCCTATTTAAGTCAAGCATCAAACTGTAAGTCATTCTAATTTTGATGTCACTATCACTGTTAGTTTAAACAGAATCATAATATCAATGGTACACAGCAAGTGTGCTATGACGGCATTTTTTTAAAGTGATCGCATGATTTAGCCGATAACAGTTAATGTCAATCTGAAACTCTTACGTGACTGCATCTTGTTATTCACCTATCTGTCAAAAGTCCCCTATGCTCCATTTCAATTTTACATACCTATGAATCATTCAGTAGATAAATGATAAATTTAAATCTTAGCTACTCAACATTGAATCCCGCTTCTGCACGTCTAATTTACGTCATATCATACTGTTCTATTTGTTTATCATTGAGTAAAAGTTTTTTAAGTGTATGTAAGCCCATGCAACTCATAATTTGATACCCCTTTTATGGTGATAGGGAGTCCTGTTTGTCAGGAAGATGGATTAACTGCTTTCTGATTGTAAAATGTATATATTCTGATTACTTCAAAAATGGGCTTACAGGAGACAGAATTTCGCATCAGAATGTGGAAAAGGTTGATCGGTTCTGATTACAAGAGACTCTGATACATTGGTCAACTAACGCAGATTCTCCAATAAAGCACTAGTAACCGGACAATGAATGATGGACTTCTTTCTCTTCATCTGCTTTCAGACCCTTAGTTATTCTCAAAATAGAGAATGCAAATGGTGAATTAAAAACTGATATATATATATATATATATATATATATATATATATATATATAAGCAGTCTTTTGGAAAGAAGATTAGTAACCACATACTAAAACTGATGAACCAATAGGAAAACGCTAGCACTGAGTGGTGTAAGACTGAAAAACCTTAGCTTCAGGGAATCCGGTGGCAAAAGACAAAAATCCAGACTTGAAGACATTAAAGTTTGTAAGCTTAGATAATTAGCTGAAAAACTAAAGTATGCCAAGCAATCTACTTCAAAACTACTACGTGAGAAAACGGGGGGAACTTGGATCATCACCTTTCAAAGGATAGCAGTTTATGCATTGAAGAGACTTTTTAAAATAGTTGCTTTATAGTGTTATTTTGTATTTAGATTTATTGGCCTCCCTTAGACTTAACAGTTATTGCTGCATAACTTTCAATCAGAAGTGACGGTTATTTCAGTGCGAAACGTGTTAGCTGGCTTTTATTCCACTTACTTTAGTTGGATATTTGAGGTGTTGTATCTGCGACTTGTACAAATGCAAATGCTAATTTGATGAGTTAATTGTACACTGAATAGCGTATCAGCACCCAGCTGACGACTTGATGCTACCAACCAGCTATGCCTGAACGATAATTATTCTAAGATCGAAACTAATGAATACCAGTCAATCAAACTGCAATCCAACTAACTGCATGTGTATAGACGATTGGAATTCGAGTATTAATGGAATAAAACAGCCACTAATGTGCTAATAAGACTATAAACTATGTTTATGAGATACCTAATAGTCAATCAAGAGCAATCGGAAGATCAGTAAATAGTTAATCAATTCTTACCAATGGATGTGTGGTTACTTTTCTATCTTTTATGACAGTAACTTATTACGAATTATAGTCCGTGTGAGCCATATATATGAACTCATCGGACTGTCAGATGAAGGATTACTGATGTTCATTTTCCCTTCTGTTCATTCAGGTAAGTGACTCAACCGCGTATAAATTCATTCAACTGGTATTTATATTTTACACTGAAGTGTTTATCAAAGCATAGTATCTGTTAAAGCACATAAAATGACTTGTATCATCGATTTATGTGTAGATATCATTGCAAATGTTTCATCACTCTGAAAATCTTGTCAGTGACTTTAGCCTGATAAGATTTATATGAGATAAACAGGCCAAACCGTTTCACTGTTACTCAGCAAGTGAGTGAACCGCTATCTTGTCCAATCCAAAATAAACTTGCAACTGAACACTCAATAATTGGCTAAGGATATCTCAAAAGTGGGAATTAGGAAGGTTTATAATTTCTACACTTGTAAAATTTAAAAAGGGTAAGACTAGAAATGAGAAATATTTCCTTCGCGTGATGCAGCTGATGAAAGCAACAGTTATAAGGAAAGATTGGACTAAGTGGATACATGACTAGTGGGGAAAAGGGACCTTTTACCTACTTTCATAACATAAATGATAATGTTATCCAATGTGCAAGCTAATATAGCAACAAACAATACAGTTCAACCGACTGCATACAATTATGAAAATGATCTCTAATTTCTGTAGGGATTAGACCGATTTTAATTATTTTTCATCACAGTTACAACAACTGCAGAACTACTGAAAACAACTAAACAGCAGACGATTTTCTCATGCTAAACTGGGTCTCCTTTGCGGTTCATACCTATTAATGTGCAGAGGGAATTATTCTCTCAGCTATTGTTTAAGTTTGTAAACGTTTCGGTGTCATGCTAGATATCATCATCAGTGCATCAGGGCTCCACAAGGGAGGTCCAGACCAGCCCACTATGAACATGAACACACTGAAGTGCAAATATTCGCCACAATTTCTCCACCCATTCCTCCTCGTGGGATAGAGTTCAGGACTTTCAGTACTCGTGGACACCACATTGTCATTAAACCATTTAGTTTGGATTCAGCAGTTTTAATTTCCTAACTTCTATTAGTTCACAATATAGTACTACCGTCATTCCCTGTCATCAGTAGATCTCGTTTCCCATAACCGACCTGGTTCCCCCTGAAGGTCACAGTTTCTCAGTAGGACTTCGGGGAGTTAACTTACAAGTTAGTTATTAATTGTCTGTAAATTTTCATTTAATCGAATGGATAATGAAGACCTGACTGATTCCAAAGAAGTTTTCATTATGAACTGATATCAGTTACAAAACGTAGCAACATACCCTTGTCCATAATGCTGAAATGCCTATATATGGAAAAACACCAGTATTAGAGAAAATAGTAAAAAGGAATTCACAAACACTCTTCATCTTCCCTAGAAGAGAATCCGTTCAACATGTTTGAATGATTACTTACTAAACTGGTAATCAGATAATGATAGATACCAAATCCAACTAGGTATATAAAACTCCTTACAGGTAATTTTTTTCAGAGACAGAACGTCTCCTCAGTTCTTATGGGAAAACCGGGATCTTTTATTTGAACGTGGTCTCATGAGATGCAATATACCCTACCGATATACAAAAGTTACTGCAATTACATTGCCCCACTCACAAAACTTTAAATAAATGCTAGTGTGAACTGTGACAATCCTCAGCCTATTTCGGAGCAAATGCAGAGTTTATATGAGTAATGAAAAGCAACCCTATTTATTGTTCACTTACTAGTATATGCATATCACTTCGCCTTTTTGTCAACTACAGGTAGTTTTAGAGTGAAAATAAATCTAAAGATTAACTAACTTTTGATATAATTTCAGTGATTAAGTTGGAAAACAACCCATAAACTACAGACCAAACTGATTCAGGGGGTAAAGCACTTAAAAACAGAAGTCGAAACTGATTTTCGTTTACGTGTGACGTGATGACTTCAAAGTTTAATGAAGAGGAAGAAGGAGGGGGATCGATGGTACAACTAATGAATAAGGGGATAGGTAAATGAATGAGAGAATATGGACAGATTCAATTTAGGGGTTTGAAGGGGTTATTTGTTGACTCCAGACTGATAACCACCGTGGACTGATACCAGTTAGAGAGCCATTGGAAATCTTGGATCATTGGGCAGTTCGCCTCTTCCTCGTAGAGAACCCTTTGGCAGCTGGCATCCGTGACCCAGCCTGAGGTTGACCTTAAAACCTCCAGGTTTCGCGGTCACCACGTTACCACTGAGCTACTGGGTTGGTAGACAATGGTCCATATTTCCTACTTCTGTCAGTTCACGATATAGCGCGACCTCCATCCAGTGTTGATGATGAACACCAACCTGAAATGTGAACAAAATTGACCAAATGAGTGACCCACTAAGATTCTAAGTCGACATATCAGAAGAGGGTGCAACATTTGTAGGTAATCCAATAACAGAATGAGAAAGTACCTAAAGGCACTCCCCACGAAGAAACTGATCAATGAATTATCGTACAATAATCTTATACCAAGATTTTCAAGTCTGCTATTTGTGTACTACTGCCCAAAATCTCATAAACTGAATTTGCCTTTACTACCCATTATGTCGATGTTATATTCACTATTTCTTAACATGAACCAATGGCTAGCCTCAAAAATTGGTACCAGCCCCGGAGAAAGTTGAGAATTTAAAGCTTTAAGGGTACATTTCAACTATCCTGATTAACAAATTACACGGGGATACCAGATAATTTATGATATCATATAATGTTGCTTGATTGATCACAATCATAATCTTCATTGAAAAACTATCTGCACAACTCGTCTTAACTGTGTATTCTTTCCTTTATCAGGAGGTGAGTTACAGTAACTACTATTTTTTTGTACAAAAGAATTCTAATTTCAGTGCGGCAACCAGAAGTATAAACTGATTGAGTGGTTATGGAATCAACACCACGATAAGTCTTAGCTAATGCCTCCATGTATAACCTCAAACAGATTCAAACGAAGTTGGGAGTTTTTCAAGATAACCTGTTAGGGTGTGTACTTCTTTTATATATTGTATAGACGTCCTACATGCCTCAAAGCTGTTTCACAAGTTCTAAGTTTCTGACCCATATATTAAGTTCACGATTAAATGTGATCAAGAGGGCTATTTTGAAGTCTTAAGTTTCAATATGAGACAACAAGTAATGGTAAAATTGAAGAGACTACATACAGAGAAGTCGCATGAAAGGGATGTTGCCTTAGCTATATTAATTTTTATCCTCTCAGGTACAGACGTGTTCTGGTAAGCTATTTCATTAACAGGGCAAGAACTTAGCGTCCAGAAGACAAACTAAAAGAAGAATCTTAAAGAGAACGGATACCCCAGGAATATTACAATAAAATGTGGAAGACAGCAAGTGATGAGACTATAAAGTTAAACCGATAAAAAGAAATCAATTTCGGCCGAATTTAATCTAAAGGGAAGGTAAATGTAGAAATGATTAAAAGAGGAGATTGAGGGGCCCTAAACGTGGACTTTGCTGCAAGTAGACCGGTCTAAGTTCATAACACCAACTGCTTACTAAAACAATCTAAAGTAAATCTATCCATACCGATTCATATAGGTGTTAATTACAAGTATTGTTCTACTGAAAACAAAATGAAATGACCTATAGAATATCATGTGTTTATGGGGTAAGACTAAAACCCATCCTCAGGTGTTATAGCAGTCTGCATGAAAATACGTATTTTCTGTGTTCTCTATGCACATGTTTTGAAGTGAAAACTGCAGTCATATATCTTTATTGCTGCTATTTGAAAACCCAGTCAACTCAATTTGATTTGTGAGAATCATTCTTCATAAACAGCTATACTCATATCTCATCTAAGATGCTGAAGTGCAACCAATACTTTGGACTTGAATAAATGGTATGAAACATGATTCAGTGACGTATGGCATTTTAAAAACTATACAAACAGGTTAAATATGCATACAATATACACCCACCTTCATTTCATCTACAGGTTATTACGTATAGGCCTCATGTTAGTCATAAAATCGTAACCTATTGTTCTACTCTAATACTGATGTACCACTGACATCTCTAAGTACCTAACAGCACTCGAGTTTTTCATCCGGATCAAAAATACTTATAGTGGGATACAAGTGTAAGACTTTTCATCCGAATTTTTGTCATCTGGTAAAGGTACTGCAGGATATTTTCATACTGAGGATTGTACAAAGTAGTTCAGTGTGACAAGCGTATCTGAAGACAAGTACTAAGCAATTTATTTTGCCAAATCGATTTCGTACCCAATAAACAACCGAGTTCAGATCCGCCAGCTGGTTTACAAGATATTCTAAATTCACTTTAGCCATATATAGTGAGAGGAATGATCAAAAAGAATACGCGACAAACATTGGTTATAATACAACTATTTTGAAACTACTCATGTTCGAGATAGTCAAAACTTTCAAATAAATATCTTCATTGTTGAATTTCAACATCAAGGTTGAGGAATTTTCTATACTCAGTTATTGTAAGCTGTTCTCCTTTTGAAGTCTAATATTATTGTTCTTAAAATGTACTTTACAGCAAGGTTTCATCCTGGAGAATTTATTAATCGAGAAATGAGAGCTAAACCCGCTTTTGGAACAGATGACGCCCTAATGAAGAGTGGATTACGATCATATATGGATTGGCAACCAGCTGGTAAGTATCGGTGTACCTATCTAGTAAATAGACCAACTTGGATTAACTCCACCACCAAACTCATTAGTCAGTGCTGAACGGACGACTGAATTTAAGTAGAGACATGATTAGTTGTGCCAATTTTTTAAATTCACCCATGAATTCACCAAGCTGTGTATTAGGCTCCCTTCCAACTGCATCCGTTTACTTATAAACTGGAAGAACGACTTTTGTCCTGGGAGCTATAAATACTGTATTTCTAAATGAAAGATTTGACCGTGCAGCTGATTATTCTGAGAACTGTCAGTTTTTAAGAGTCTGTTGACTTTCTTTTACTGTAGCTTAGAAAGCCTAGTGAGACAACCAACATACTTGGCTTGTATCCAAGTGCAAGCACCTACATGTGATCCCTAGTTAGCATTTACTGACTTATTCAGTGATATTTCTTAGAAACTGAAATGTAGATATGATACAATGGTACCAATTAGAAGTATCACAGATACAATAGTATTTCCTCCGGTTTATATCGACAATGCAAACAGCAAACATCTACGGTCCCAAGAAGAAACAACGCTGGTTTCGCTAGACTAAGTTGAACAGATGACAGCATCATGAGCCCCTGTCAACTTGAGAAGCACTCGACAGTGAGGTTAATCATGGCCTTCCATTGTATCTCTGAATATTAGCTGACTGGTAACATGTCTGGATTATCACCTGATTATCCATACTGCTAGCGAGTATTACGTTTAACGCTATCTTTGGTACAGTAACTAAAACTTGGACGGTAAGACTTAACAGTGTCCATTAATTTTCATTGGCGCGATAATTTATGTCAGTCAGTATGTGGTGAAAACTATCTGTTCAGTTAAAGTGGTACCACCAAAGATCGCCCATTTGAAGATCAATATTTGTTTGTTGGTTAGAAGTGACTAACTTTTTAACCCATTATCAATCAGTAACCACGAAATTTTTTTATTTTGTACGATGAAACGAAGTGACATTTCTTCCCTCGTTGAAAGTACTGTCAATCTTAATGGTGAATTTGGAGATCGTATTATTCTTTAAGACCTCACTATTTTTGAAGCCTTTTGCAATTTTAATTGCTTGATACTTTATAATTCCTTTCAAATCATCATCATCATCGTCATCATAATTTAGAACCACAGGCTATGATTCCAGATAGTCATTCTTTGGTATGCTAATATATCCAAGTTAGACATTAGGCTTCCGTTGAAATAAAGCCCCAAATCTAAGCTTTCTGCCTGTAAGCACTCACCAGCAGGCTTTATCTTCAACTATGAAGAAACTAGTCTTCATCTGTAGACTTCTGTTACTGCAGAGTATTCAGAAATAAACGTACATTTTGGTTGCCCAGTGGTGACCGATACTTGCATCCAAATCAGGTAAAAAGTTTTGTTTGATCTCAATAATTCGAACTAATTAACTGAAATAATATAGGCTTCCAGATGATAAGTTCAGTCTCGAGAGAGAAAAATGGATGGTGAATCCTTCGATGACTTGAATGTTTAGCAAAACCATCAAGTCAGAAGGGAATTTTCAATATACTCATATTATTCGGTAATACATTTCTCCTTTTTCAAAACCGAGTTGGTAGTTATCTTGCTGGCAATGAAATCGATGGTAACAAAATCATAGAGAAGTCAGTTATAAGTAGCTTAGTGCATCGTATGCTACTTTGGTACTGACTGTGATTCTGACACACAGATAATGTTAGTTTCGCAACCAACTTACCATAATCTTTTCCTCATCTTTTTTATAGCCAAACTGTAATAAAATTTATTCGGAGGGTGGCATATTCACTGTATTTCGACGTAGGCTAAGGACGCAATAAACAGGAATTTGAATCCTAGGTGGGATCCCGAATTATAAATTTCAACCTTAGTTGAATCCCTTTGCATCGTAGAAACGTCATGAACAAAAGCCCTTTTTAATGTATGAAAATAGTCGCGCAACTCCCTGTGGAAAAAAGCCATAAACTTTCCATTTCAGCTAATTTTAACTGATCCTCAACATTTTTAGACATTATGGCCTTTCTGTTGTTAAAAGTTAGCTACAAATTTTCGTAGCTATCGAAAACATGCCTTCAAAAAGTATATAAAGGTTATTTCATAGTTTAGAAGATGAAATGACTGAGAACAGATGTCTTTCGACTTCTTCATATCTTAGAAAATCTTCCACAAGCTTTAAAAATATCTGACTATCTATTGTTTTGAGAACTTAATTCGTCCTCACAAAATAGGTTAACTTCCATCTTGTAGAAGTAGCTATCTGACGAATTTGAGGGAGCAAATGTTTGATACACTTTTTATCTACTTGTTAGTAGTAACAATTGTCATGAAAAATAAATTGCGAGCAATCTTAGCCACGATAGACGTCAGAATATTTTTATTCTTTCCTTTTAGTTGTTGGTTCTGTGTGCGCAGTATTAGGTGTTCTGGTAATCGCAGCAGTTGGCACCATTTACCAGAAGTAAGTATTGAAGCTTGACTATCATTTTTCACAACATGTAAACAATTTTTCCATTAGGTCTTGTACATTTCTAGTACTTTTCTCTTCAGATTCCGGAATCCACGAAAAAAGCGCTGCCTGCCTATTGAGAAACCTCGTCCATGTTCACCTACCTGACTGCTAGTCATATTATTTTCCAGTCAATCACCGTCATTACAGATTTAATGATGTCATATGTTTCAGTATACATCTCAGTTGGGGATTAAGTTAGATGGTAGCTACCAACAAGTGACTTGCCTAGATATTTTTTTGGGAACATCATTCAGTGAGAAAGACTAATATCTCACGAAAGACTCCTTCAGGTAATTTTAAAATGGTAAACAGTGTCAGCAGATCAACTCTGGACAAGATTTGTTAGAGTGAAGAAGATAGATAAATTCAGCTTAATGGTAATAAACCATAGAGAATAACTCTCTTCATACCATACACATACACGAAGATATACTTAAAAGAATCCACTGAGTCTGATATTTTCAGGGCAAAACTTCCTGGATTACGATTAATTCCATGAGAAGACGAAACATTTGATTACATACAAATTTTGATCGTCAATTTCTCTCCTTGGAAACAATATTGAAATTGATGTTTATCTGTATAGTTAGGTACTTATCAGATTAAAATCACATCACAATCTGTCCTACACTATTTTAAGTAAGTAAAAGGGAATAACAGTTGAAGGGGATCGTCGTTTACAGTAAGAAAGCTGCGACAAGGAGAGTGAGTGCGAGAGGGAACAAACACTGTTATAACTGCTAAATATTAGGTTAAATGAAACAAGAAACTCTAGCATAACATGTTCCCATCCTTTCTTGCTAAAGCCAAGAAAAGAATAAGATCTACAAAATAAAATCATCTTTGATTCCACAGTTATACCACAGCCACCAACAGCCTGACATAAATACAGAATTAGCAACTGCTCAAATCAGTAACATAATCTTGTATTAGAATAGAAAAAGCACATACATTGGAGGATTTCGATCGAGTAGGTAATATTCACTAAATGATTTCAGCAACATAAATCCTATCCCTTAGCATATACTATTCTTAGCAAGTGGATGTGAGTCTATAAACCCAGTAGCAGGTGAAACTGAGTGGATACTTTTCCATTTTCGTCTGGAATAGGATCTAGGTGGCAATAATAGCACGAATTAGTTCCATGATGGATAATGAAACATATAAACCTATTCATTTGGGCTGCTGACATTATTTAGTGGATGTTTCAGTTCCGACTGACGTCTGCATTCTACATGCTTGTTCTATCCAAACATAGAACTATGGTAGTGATTTCAACACGTGATAATTCTATATTTACTTTACACTGTTAGCAGCTAAGGAAAAAAGTGGAATAAATATGATCTCATTTCATTTTGTTAATCTTATTTACCTTGCTTTAGTGAAACTAAAAATTAGGTTAATGATTGAAACAAAATGAAATCACTTAAGTACAGGTTTCTTGAATCATGGTGGAAGTGAGTTATAAGACTTTCAACTTATTGGTTCCCGCACATGAACTCCTATCTTCACTGCTTCGATCATGAGAGGGTCAGCGGTTTGTAGAAGACAAATTAATTAACCCTCATGACATTCGGTTTGATATCTCATGAACTACCAAAATGACACTTTGGGTTAGACCAAAACTGGCTTGTAAACTTCCCTACTTACTTAATCCTCCACTAGTCAGAGACAGCGATATCTTCAAGCGTTTTGAAAGTGTTTCCATAATGCTGCTCAGGTGACTGGCACTACAGGAACAGTTGTATTTACAAATGGCTTTTCAGAGTTGAATTTTCTACTTATTCCGTAAGTTTGGGAAACCCTGTCACCACTGAATACAAAGAATAATAAGGAAATACAGGACTATGAGTTGAGTAACTACTGTGACGACAATGGGTGTTAATTCTACTTGCGCACCACCTCAGTGCCTTTTATCATAAAGCTACCTCCCTCCTTCTTATGTCAAATTTATACTACTGATTATTACCAGGTAGTATTGTAATGTTCACTTCAATTTGTTGTCTTGAACTCATTTGTACATATTCTGTTTTAATGAATTTTTGTCCAACATGTTAAAATTTCAGTTTATTAGTTTTTCTTATCATTTCGAACCTTTACTTTGTCATATTCATCTCGCTTTGCGTGCCACATCGCCCTCAAAATATCTTTCACCTTGATTTCTTCTCCTTACCTCACGCTTACGCAGGGTTTCCATTCTCACCCACAGAGTGAACTTGGCTCAGACTTTCGTTGTTTATTTTGCTTGTTGATGCACTTCTTCGACAGTAACTATAGTGGCATAATAAACGCTTGGACACCCCACGATTTAAAGTTTATGATGTGGTCAGTCATCATTGCTATTTGTAAGTAAAGTACCATAATATTGATAAATCTTGTATTTGGACTGCAGGATTTCATGAGCAATTCGGGCATTTGACTTTGCACTACTTAATATTTATTTGAAACTAAAATGTTGGAATTCCTGGGTGGATAATAAATTGTGTTGGAAATGTAACCCTGTAAACTACAACGTTACTGAGTGATGGGTTATAAAATAAATCTTAAATGAAATTACTGACTTTAGTAAAATAAATTACTTTTCGTTCAATAAATGTCGAGTATTGAAAGCCTTCAGTACCTAACCAAGGAATAATATTCCCCTAACTCATATAGTATGGTGATAGGTATTTACTTCGGAAGCTATTCTGTAAGATCTGATCATAACTGCGATATTCTTCAAATAAAAAGCCTACGTTAGAAAACTCTAACCCACCAGCGCCAAATACTATATCATTTGGCTTAATCGTGATATGACATCTCCTGGTTGGAGGAATTTAACGATCTAAAATATGCAAATATCAGACTTGCTTTCACCGCATATTCGATTCATTTCAAATCCAAATTTCGTTTCAAGTATTCCTTTGTGATCGGATAGAATTTTAACAGTGAATTGTCGTTGTAGTAACCAAAAACCAACACCTTGTTTCACTTGCTTTTACACACTTTTATCTCGGTTATCATTGAGTCTCGGGGCTAAGTGCCTAGGATCTTTACTTTTAGATGAATATTTTGTGATTTCTAGATAATACGGTGGGCGATACTATGATGCAGACACTGGTTCCTCTAACAATGAAACTGGATACATCATCCACTTTAAAACTAGCTGGTTTCCATCTGAAATTAAATGAGTTAGGAGTTCAAAAATCTATGATCAGACGCTGCAAATCTAAGAATGATCACCACCACCAAATAAATTAGTAAGAGTGGATAACACCAGTGGTATATTCAATAGCAGAAAGCAATGTGAAGGTGATGAGGTGTGAACATAAGCACTGTAAATATTTAATTATCTCAATGATTTATTATATTCTGCAGCTTGAGTCTATGGTGACAGCTTATTATGAAAATCAGGAATGAATTTTCTGGATACACAACATTCAGACTGTACGTTCAATTTTGGCAACCTTAATACCATTTTCATCTTACTAGTTATCTATTGAACGTTATCATATATGCCAGTCAGTATTTATGTGTTTTTTTTCAATGATGTAGGCGCAAACTTCAAATGAAATCTAGCCTCAATCAAGATGAAGAGGATATACTAGCGAATTCGAACTTACCAAGTAAAATGTTATCACTTAATTCAGAGGATGATCGTAAACTGGCTCAATCTGCACAAATGTATCACTACCAGCATCAAAAACAACAAATGCTGGCCTTAGAAAAGTTAGTCGCCTGTTCATTTTTCAAGATTGCTATTATTATGGTTGTTATTTTTTTTGGTAAGTGTAATATTCAATTGTTGACAGATTCATGTTTTATGTCTGCAGGCAACTCGTTGTGACGGAGATCATTTAGAGACTGAATATAGCAAACATTTTAGATAGAACGAAATTTAGAACCGATTAACTAGTCATGGACTAGTTTCAGCCGTAAAACAAATAAAAACCATCAGGAAGTCAACAACTGCTTCTTTCTGATCAACAACTTCATAAAAAAGGTGAGCTTATAAAAGACGGGAAAGGGTATTCGTAGGCATAGCTTATATTAGGATCAAAACTGTGTAACGCTTTATTTTACAGAATTTCCAATAATTATTGCATAAAAAGATGAAAAGGCATAGGACTTAACAATCCCAGTTGCATTAAAATTAGGAATCATAACAGGCAGTGAGTAAGCACGGGATTTTAGATCCAACTAAAAGTAGAAAAGTGATCATCAGAAAGCGTCTTCTCCAACTAGTGGTAAAATCTGCTTGCAATAATTTCCGCCAGATTATAAACCCTAAGCTGAATGCTGGCGAATATTTGTTTCTCATCAGACATGGAGCTGACTGACTTGTCCGTTCTTATTATTATTTTCATCTTGATGAAATTTCTGGGGTATCTACTGTGTTTGAATGTGTTCATACGATTTTGTGATACACTACCAATTTTAACATTGAAATGAATTCCCATTTTCCTATCAAACAGATGTTGAATCAAGTTCTTTTACTGACCTAGTGGAATGAAACTACAGAAATGTTTATACTTTCTTTCCTTAGATGGTTGTGATAAATACTTCTTATGGTTTATCCTCCATCTGACATAGGAGTGCAATAAGTATCCTTTGAATCTATTTAAGGTTTCAGAACGTCGTTTTCCGGCAAATGGTGGTCTAAGTGACAAACCAGTTATCACTTCGTTTGCGAATTTCTCATACGCTTTTACGCAGAATTAAAATTCAACTACACGAGTCATGTAACATTACACGTTATGATAAATATTCTCTATCTGACTACCACCTGGTAGTTAATGAGTCAGTTACATAAGAATGAAGCAGACATTGTCAGTTGGGGAAGTTTGAAGTTAGAAGTGTGATAAGCAACTTTATCTGAAAGATTCGATTTCTTCAGTAAACAGGAGTACAGAACTTGCTGTAGTAATGGCAGCCATTATCAGCGTAATATCAAGCGCTTGCCGTGACTCAGTATATAATGCTTCGTCTTTAGAAATAGTGTATAGCTGATGATAGTTACCTGGTGAACACCAAATACGATGAAACTTAAGTCTCTGCTTGTCAAATAATACCGAAACATGCATCCATTCAAACAACCAAAATGTGAACATGTGTTCATGATTCTCCTCTTGAAAATCAACAGCCGAAGATAAATAATAAGCTTTAATAATAAATAAAAGGTGTTGTGTGATGGCTGAACATGACAAAAAATAAAGTGATAGTCAGTGAGTGTACTTTTCAGTGTGAACATTGACAAGGATGTTAGCACATCCAACTATCGAAACCAAACAGAACGGTATATATCTTTTTCTCTCACTAATGATCCCTACCAATTTAACAGCCATCAGCTTGAAAAGTTTTGTTCAATTTTTCTAATCACCAATATATACTAAATAAAGGTTGAAGTTAACCTAACTGGTTTAACGAAGCCATAAATTTTGTTTTGATTTATTATTAATATTACAAAACAGGGGCTGCTACCTTTTATGCTTCTCCGCGTATTACGTGCGCTAAATTATTAACAAGATAATTGCTATGTTCAGTTGCCAAAGTGCAATGCTGAACATTGAAATTTATTCATCAAGACTTTCATCGACGGAGTTTAGCCCCATATTACCAATCACATATCGAATTGTCTGATCACACACGTATTTGTCATAGGTATTTTCATGAAAATTCATGAAGATAAGGGGTGAAAAAATGAAAAGAGGCCAAGTAGGAAAATCAAGTTCGACGTAATATTATTTTTGCTATATTGATTTTCATTGTTATTCGGCCTTGAATTCAGCCTTTCTACTTGACCTCTTCATTTTCTCACCCCTTATCTTCATGAATTTTCATATATTACCAGTCGATCAAATTATTGGCACTGGAATTGTTGATTCATATTAGCGCTAAACTTAATTTGTTTGTCTGAATTTAAACGATATTGTGTAAGACCAGTCAAAATGAATGCTAAAACTTAATTCCGGCAGTGAATGAAATTACAAGCAAAATCGAAATGAAACACTTGGTACTCCTTTGCACAAAAGGTGTCCAGTTCCAATTCAATAACCAGCTTTATAAACAGATTAATGGAGTGACAATGAGTTCACCTCTAGGACATTTCCTGGCACATATATTTATGAGTAATCCCGAACAAACACACCTGAGTTCGGTCATCAGAAAAACAACCTATTACCTCATGTACGTTGACGGCACTTTTATTGTTGTAATGATATGAAACATGCAGGTGAGTTGTATAATAAGCTCAAAGGAGCCCATTCTAACATTAAATTTACGATGAAATATGAGCATAAAAACTAATTCAGTTTTTTGAACCGCAACGTGACAAAAAAAAGTGATTGAGAAATTGAAAAAACCATCCATAGGACAGATACATGGACAAGACAATGCCTTAACTATAACAGTTTCTGTTCTGCCAGCGTGTGCTAGGCAATACGCTTTACAACAAAGCTAGGAAATTACATTCTCCGAACAAGTCAGAGGAGGAACTAAACTTCTTTGAGAAGTGTCTCCGAAAGAATGATTATCCTATGAGATTTATTATGAAATATGGAAAAGAACAGATCAATAAACACCTAGCTGGGGAAAATAAGAAGGTTTTTATATACCTTACATTCAAGGGAAATGCAATATCCCAGTGAATAGACGCAAGAATCAAAGGAGCACTGAGAAGAAACTTTTCTGTAGCTAAACTTGTATCAATATGCAGTAGTACATTCTTACTGAACCAGTCAAAATTGGACAATTACCCTGATCATATCTATCACCCACTACCGTATTTATTAATTCACATTCACTTGAGGTAGTAAGTACATTAAGAGGCCTGACCACATCCTCGAAAATCTTGTGCTAGAGACGAAGTAAAATTTTAATCAGTGAAATCGCCAGACTCCTCTTACACACAGGACACTAGGTTGAAACATTGAGTGCTTTTAAAATAATTAACGTCCAGAGAATGTCTGCATTACTGAGTTTCACAGAAGCGATCCCAATAAAACGCTTTCATCCTGACCTTTGTATACAGAAGGAGAGTGTGGTTAGTCTCTCACTCCATTGATGACCATGATTTGATCCTGTTTCATTTTCGTTTTCATCTCATAACTCTTCTTCCTTACATTTCTCATCCCTCTGTGCAACCAATTCTCTTACTTGTTATATGGATTATCAGTGATTTTTTCGTACGACTGAAGATTAATCATTCCCTAGTTTTGAAAAGTGTCGGTCACAACGCATTTCGCAATGATGACTTGAATAGTCTAACAAAGGCACAAAATAAAGTCTCCAAATCTAACACTCATGTATCAAATTAAACACCCATTTTGATACATAATTATCAGTCATGTTCTCAATTTTACCCTTCATGGTACTCTTATACCTATTCAATCTTATCATACTCTCTTTTGCTATTCATTTGTCTCTAACAAAATGTAATATTACCGTTACGTCGAAGCATTTTTGCAGTACATTCAGAGCATGTATTCAATGTTCTAGCCAAGAAATATTAAGAGTCAGCCAGCAGAAAGTCCTATTTGACCCAGATTTATTCCTTGCTATCACTTGTCTGTAGAACATCTCTGTGGCCTTGAAGAAACATTCTTTTAGCGAGGTCACCAAACTATTCAGGCCACAACTCACCATCTGTCAGAAAGTACACTTCACATCGAGTGGTTAACGAACTGTAATCAATAGTATCAAGTCCCTAGTGTTAATCAAAACCTATGGATCAAGTTTTCAATGTAACTAATAGGATGAAGAAAGTGACGCTGTAGCATACTGTATCAAGCATAAGATAGCAGACAAGGTCTTAATATTCAGTGGTGAGTTACATAAATTGCAAATCTTCGACGGAACACAAGTCTTTCAAGCCTGAAAATAAGCTTCAATTATGAGTCCTAACAAATAGGGATCCCCGTCAACCATTATTATTATTGTATTTTTGAGATGCGTACTGCTGAGGAGTCCCATACTAGGACGAAACAGCTGTCCAGTGCTCCCAGGTTTTCAGTGGTTCCCTAACTGATGTCAGTCCATGATGAATACTACGTCTAAATTATTATTATCTGTCCCTTGGGTTCCTAGTGGAACATAGGGCTTCAGTAGCACATCGCTCCTGTCAACCAACACTAGACAAAATGTCTCATAACATCATGTCATTAAACTTAGTGTTCGAAATAAACTACCTAGGTCTTGAGAATTAAATTGATTCGGATCTTAAACATATAGGATAAACAGGATACATTTGTGATTATTTGATGATACACCATTTACTAACACCAATATCTTTTCATGTGATCGAATTTCAGAGTTAATGATCATACTCGAATCAGCGATGAGGACGACAGTGAAGATGATATAGATGAAGGTGACTTTACCGTTTACGAATGTCCTGGGCCTGCTAATGTGAGTTTTGTGTGTGTGTGTGTGTACTCGTCCTCATAAAAGGAAGATGCATAATCTCCGGTGTTTTGCATTTGCATCTAGGAACTCAAATATCAACCATTCATTCACGAGTTAATACTTATTCCTTTATTAATTGATTCTGGTCAATCAGCTCTCCTTGTTAGCTGTGTACAAACATCCGCCAAAAGCCAGATACATTGAACCATATCTGGAACTCATTTACACATTATTATTATTAGTTCCTTGGGTTCCTAATGGAACATAGGGCTTCAGTAGCACGTCTCCATTCCACTCTCTTCTCTGCAATCCTTTGAACCTGGCTCCACGACTGCCCACAACCTCTCATTTCTTCCTCACACCGTCTCCTCTATGTCACCCTCAGCTGGAACACCCAACTCGTCGTTCCCCATTTCGGTTCCACTAGAGTGACTGGCCTGAAGCGTGATGTCCCCAGTCGGCCTTCTCAGTGTATGCCCAATCCATCTCCACTTCCTTCCAGTGCATATTTGTTCAGTGATAGGTTCTTGGTTGGTTCGTTACCCGGCCAGAGTGAGTTCCTTGTTGCTTATTCTTCTTATTCTGGCCATCTGACCTTCAGTAACGAGCCAGTGTAGGCAGTTGTCCATGAATGTCTGTAGTTTGTTGGAAATCCCTTTTGTGATGCGCCAAGTCTCTGAACCATACAGAAGCACTGACTTGACATTGGTGTTGAAAATCCGGATGTTGTTCCACATGCTGAGTGGAGTGCAGAAGATCTCCACACTGGTTTCAGATTAATGCAGGAAGGCCTGTCTTGCTGATTTTCCGATTCCGATTCTGACTTTGACATCCTCGTCTGTGCCTGTGCTGCCTGTAGTTGAAACAGTGCTTCCTAGAGTAGAGAGGTGAAGGAGGTTACTTCCTTTAAGTTTCTCCCGTTGATGGTGATTGGAGTTTGTTGTTGTTGTTGTTGTTGCTGGAGTCGTTGGTTGGGTATCTTCATCACCTCCGTCTTCTCTATATTCACTTGAAGGAAGTCCCGTCTTCGCTGCCTCACCTCTTCTGCCAGCTTGTTAGTTTTCGCCTGTAGATCTTCAAGTTTGTGCAACATCAGACACAAGTCATTGCTGGCGAAATCCAGATCTTCTAGGTTCTCCTCATCGGTCCAGCCAGCGTATCCCCCTCTTCTCGCTCCTCACTGTTTGTTGCATGATCCAGTACAGTCGACCACAATCAGGAATATCATGGGTGATGGTAGACAGCCTTGTTTCACTCCTGTCTTCACTTCACTTCAAAGGCATCACTGAGCTTCCCATTGTGAATTACTCGGCATTTGACGTTGATAAAGGTTTGCGGTATTGCATAGTGTTGAAGCAACTGCCTGCCAAATTACTTCTCGGTCGACGCTGTCAAAGGCCTTCTCAAAGTCGATAAAGTTGAGATAGAGAGCTGATTTCCATTCTATGTTCTGTTCTATGATGATGCGTAGTGTAGCGTTGCAATTTGGTCCACACATGATTTGTACTTCCTGAATACAGCCAGCCAGCCATCCTGTTCCGGTCGTAGTTTTGAATCCAGTGCATCCTTTAGTCTCTCCAGGATGATGTGGCTTAATATTTTGCTTGCAGTGGACAGGGACAGGAGCATGACTCCGCGATAGTTCTTGCAAACACTGAGGTCTCCCTTCTTCGGGAGTTTGACAAGGTAACCCTTCTTCCAATCGACAGCCAGGTACCTTCTCTTCTCTTCCTTCCACACCTTCTGCAATAGTTGTGTGGTGTGCGCATGTCCGCTGTTGTCTCTGCGTCTGTTCTCAGTGCTTCTGGTGAGATCCCATCTGGTCCTGCTGCTTTCCCACATTTCAGTATCTTTATGGTGTTCAGGACTTCGACTTTTGTTGGAGGATTTATGTTCATTTGTAGTTCTGTGGCTGGGCTGTAGGTGGTATTTGTGGACGAAGTGCAGGTGGTGGTCGATTCAAGAGCTTCTTGAAGTGGTCGGCCCATTGTTTCCTTTGTTTCTCTTCTTTCGTAATTATATTTCCGTCATCATCCTTTATTGGTTTCATGTGTGCTGTGTTGATCTCTTCCCAAACAGCAGGTAACCTGGTTATTTGATATAATGTTGTCAGGTCTCTATCCCTCCCACCTGCAGCCTGTTCTGCTTCACTTGCCAGTGTGTTGTGGAAGTGTCTTTTGTATTTGAGCGCACTCTTCTTCACTTCTTTGTCCAGTGTAGTGTTTTATACATTGTACTCAGTTCCTCTTCCCGTTGTTCATCCTTGCACTGGTTCATCTTCTGCTTCACCATCCTCCTCTCCCACCTCTATGAGCTTCCATGTGTCCATCGAAATCCATTCATTGTCTTCTTTCTTCTTATTTCCTAACACGGTTATGCAGGTTTCCTTCCACATAGCTTTCAAAGACTTCCGGTGTTCATCCACACAGGTTTCTTCAGGGATGTTCCTCGATATATCCCATTTTGGCTGCCGTGAAGATGTCCCTTGTAGTTTCGTCCTTCAGTTCAGTTTCTGTTCTGGGTGTTGAACTTGAACTGTGTGGTCTATCATCAGCTTCCTTGAATTGAAGACTTTCAACTTGATTTGGAAGTTTGCTTGTACTGGATAGTGAGTGGTGTGAACCTACATCTGCACACCCTTCTTGACCTGATGTTGTGTCCAGTAGGCTGCATCTCCACTTTCTTCACACTGAGATGAAGTCGATCTGATGTTTTGTGTGTCCATCTGATGAAATCAAATCCATGTCGCTTTGTGGATATCATTGTGCTTGAACAGAGTGCCTCACTGCAATCACCAAATGGTTGAATGCGCAGAATTCTGTAAACAGTTCTCCATTCTCGTTCATTTCATCGAATGCTTCTCGGCCCATGGTCAGTTTTCTTCCTGTGTTGTCCGCTCCCATTTTGGCATTCATGTCACCCCACCCATTAGAATGTTGATGTCGCCAACTGAGGTCTTGTCCAGTGTTGATTGGAGCTGTCTGTAGAATTCCTCCTTTTTCTCTTGCTCTGCATTATCTGTTGGTGCTTAGCATCGAATGATTGTGACCTTCCTTCCTTTTGAGTTGAATCTTGATGTCATGATCTGATCCTGGAGGAGATTGGTTCCCACTGCATGAGAGCCTTCGATGCTTTTGGGGACATCATGATAGCCACTCCAAAACTCAGTGTGGTCGTGGTCATCGTCTGAGTGACAATATCAGAGTAGATTATTGGCTCTCCAGTTGACAGTTTGGAGAGTCCACTTCCATTCCATCTGCTTTTGCAGATTCCATGTCCCCACGTCATCGAGAGAAGACACATAGGCCCGGCTAATTGGCTTCGCGAAGGCTTTCACCAAGCGACGTCATTTCGCCTCTCCGATTCCAGTGAGGAATAATTTTGTTTCTATTTTTTATATTTTGTTTGTGCTTTGAAGTTTCTGTAGCGGTTGGATTGGTTTTCCGGGGTAGAGTTGCCAGACCTACGCCCAACGTTCCCTCTTTTCTCGGGCTTAGGACCGGCTAGTAACTAGTGAACTATTTAACCAGTCTAGGTTGATGCTATGAACGGTAGTAATTATCATTTGTGCATATCAAGTCATATTTGCTGATGTGTAAAACTAAGCGATCCTCACTTTTTATATTCCATTTTGCCTTTAGGTCTAATGGCGCATAACTTTTCATTGATACATTTCTGACAGCGTCTTGACCAATTCCAGGTTAGCTCTCTGTTTGAACTGATATCCTCTGAAAGATGTGTATATATGAAAAAACATAAAAAACACCATAGTGTATTGGTTCAGGTCATCACCTCAATAAGACATTCGCATATGTCTTGCCTGCTGTGCAGGTGGTATTTATCAATGAAAACCAGTGAAAACCACATCCGCTATGGGGTTGCATCAGACATCAGTACTTCAGGACTAATATGAATTTTTAAGCAAATGAAGTGGCCAACCGGTTCAAACCTTTTTAATCCATATTGTCAGACAGATATCCATGTGGATTAATCTTGAAGAGAAAAATTGCATTCGGAACATAAGATAAATGTTCCGAACGATTCATGATTTTTAGAAAAATTTGCGTCTTCCTAGCATCTTCGTCTAATAAGACTAACAGAAATGAAAATATCAGAGGTTATGTAGTCAAATGAAGGAACTTGACTTCAATGGGTGTGTCTGATGAAGTTTAGTGGTAATATAAATACTTGGCATCAGTTACAGGCACCATTCAAATCAAATGACATGTCACTGCATCAGTGATCATGAGTTTTCGATCAAAAATTCAGTTACGTAATATGCTATACAGATACTTCGATTTTTTAGAAACTAAGTGTCATAAAGTCCTTATTCAGATGTGGGCATTTTTGATCTGACGATTCCGCTTACAACAAAATCTCCGTGTGGTTCCACAGTTTTATCCTCATGCCTTAGTAGCTTCCAACCTTGTATGTTTAGTACAGTTTGTTCAAGATCACAAAACGCTACCCTTACCTTTTACAAAGCATATTCAGCTAATGAATGCAAAATTAAACTGGATACATAACTTGGTCTTCAGGTTTATCAGTGAATAAGTGTCACCAAGACTTAGGTGGTTTATACCCTTGTTATGAAGTGTTATGAAGTAGGATTGAAGTAAGATGCAGACTAGGAGTCAGTCCTAAATCAATCTTTTCTTTCCTCTAACCAGTTTCCTCCAGAATATTTTGTTTTAATTTGTAGACTGGTGAAATAGAAGTTGAAAATCCACTGTTTGACAATGATGCTGGAGAGAAGGTGTTGAATACAAGTGGAAGTTCAGGTGAATTAATTGGCTGTAGTGATCTAGAAGAGCGTATTAGTGATCCAACTAATAATGGGTTCGCTACCGACTTTGGTAGCCTAACAGCCAGAAGCACAAACATTGATGGCTTAACAGTGCCATCGACTCCAGGAACTTCAGAAGCATCACCTGCAACCAATAAATAGGCTGCATAAAATAAGAATGGATTATGATAAATGAAGCTTAAAAATTTCATTTCACATTGTGTGTTGTCTATGTGTAAGTGTCACGTACGTTAACAGTCAGTCTATCTCATGTTAGCACAATCATCTTCATCGTCCATAACAATAAAGACAAAGGTAACACATTCATTTACTAAGACTTCATGCATTTTAACTTTTAAAAGTACGGTGCGCGAATACAAAGCTTAAGTATAGTTTCAATCTAAACAACTCATTCGCAGCAAAAACAAAAGATTTTAATACTTTTTTAGGTTACTCATGAGTAGTTTATCTTTTCTATAACAAATGTATTTAGCATCACAAGATTCTGTACAACTTTTTCTCTCAAATATACACTTATGCATGATTTATTCATAACTCATGGTGTCTTCTCCAATGGTTGAAGAGTGGAACAGTAATTGAGAATATATTGATTCATTAATAATCAAGCTAACTTACAAAGTCATTTATTTTTATAACTCTTGAGTTGTACTACATACATCATCTTTCGTTGTTCCATAGTCAGTCTCTATTTTTATCCAGTTTATGAGGGTATGTATTCTCATCAGTTTTACACTGTTCGTATTCAACTGTTAACTATATGTTCGTGTCCTTAAATTTATTTTCAAAATCATCGATAATAACAATTATTTGCCGTGAATGTTTGTGTGTATGCATGCACCTAAGATCATTTTGTTGTATACCAGTTTCTTACTAGTGGTAGTATTCTTTCTTCTGGTGAATTAATCTCATACTCTTTTCAATTTATATGATAGCTGACTTACTTGTTCGGTGTACTCATTATTTGAATGGTATTTCTAAAACACAGCATAATTCCATAGGACTTCTTAATTTTTTCATCAATCTAATAGAAAGATTTAGAGTATATGTTAAGTCTGAAGCAGAAAACAGCTGTTTAGGGAGTTATTCTTCTACCGGAGATGTTCCTAAGAGTTCAGGATTCGAGCAGTGAGCCTATGGATTTCGTGGTGTCGTCCTTTACGAGGTCCGGCTGTTTGCATAGTCTGCGTTGTTAAGTGAATTAGAGCTATACTGGGGCCTGTTTATCGGGATCTGCGTATTCACCCATATGCTTCAGTCTAGATATATATCTAGATGAATGTGAAGTGGGGTACGACTGAATCTGTTCAAATATCGGTCCTGAGAACCACTTATCCTCTTTAACTGAGGTTCAGTCTTAAAACATTATCATGAAGTTCTGCAGCCAAACTGAATGAGAATATCAGATGTAGAAACTTTAAAACCAACGAAGATATCACTTTTATGTCGAAATAAATCCTATTCTACCTGACAATAGCATTTTGGTGTTAAACTTCATTTTTTATAGAAGAAATAACCTATGGGACACTTTTGAAGATGAGAAGTTTTACGAAGATGAACTATTCAGTGATATCAATAATTTGGAATATAAAGTTAAGTATATGCCTAAACAAGTGTCATCGTAAACAGTAATCTTGGAAAGCATTAAAAAAACACGGAGCTAAATCTGTTTGTCGACGCCACATAGAAGCGAAAATGAAGATGTAAAACAGAAACTAACTGACTTCAAAGCTTGAGATCTTCATGAAAGTAAGAGTTGAGCAAGATTTTTCGTGCAAGTATTTCCGGCTTCTTTATGAAGTACGGCAAAGGCATCTGGATTGCAAAGAAGCTGAAAATGAACCGTTTTCAGTAGACATTTTTAATGTGTCAATAACTTTGACTGAGGAGTTTGTTATAATGGTAGGACCAAAGTTGATGAGAAATCCGATAATTATAATTCTGAGGGAGTTGTGGAGATTTGGAAGTATTTCAAGTTGTTATTCATCGTAGACTGACATCAGTTGGAGGAACAAAGGAAACATGGGAGCACTGCACAGCCGTTTCGTCCTAGTATGGGACCCCTCAACAGTGCGCACCCACGACCCCGCCAGGGGTCGAACCCGAGGCCAGCGCGTTACCATTGAGCCACTGGGTCAGAATCCAATGCTCCATATTTCCAACTTCTGTTAGCTCACGATATAGCGCAACCGCCACCCAATGTCATCGTTGAGTATCTGTCCTCATGGCCATCAGGCTTGACTCCACCGTCACGACTTCTTATAGGAACTTCGGGAATACTTCTCGAAGCTAGTCACCAATGCGCACCAGTTCAATTGAATTTTGAGGGAGTTGTGGAGATTCGGAAATATTTCAAGTTGTTATTCATCGTAGACTGACATCAGTTGCGCTATATCGTGAGCTAACAGAAGTTGGAAATATGGAGCATTGGTTTCTGACCCAGTGGCTCAATGGTAACGCGCTGGTCGCGGAACCTGAAGGTCGCGGGTTCGATCCCTGCTGGTGGGGTCGTGGGTGCGCACTGCTGAGGGGTCCCATACTAGGACGAAACAGTTGTGCAGTGGTCCCACGTTTCCTTTGTTCCTCCAACTGATGTCAGTCTACGATGAATAACAACTTGAAATCATAATTCTGTTAAAAAACACTTAATGAACACCGACTAAAATACTGTTTATAATTAGTTTCACGTTGAGTCTTGATATCATTCAAATAATCACCCCTACGTATTTCCTATATCCTTCGTTTTAAATAGAAGTATTCCGTAGGGAACAACTAATTCACTCTTGTCGTTGGTTATTCCTTTGCAAAGCATGAAATGATATTTCTGATAAACTGAAATACGTTCAACCTCATTCACATATAACAACGGATAGATAGTTAAACTGACATTCAGTATTCCCAAATTTAATACGCTTATCACTACCAATCAGAGAGATACCGATGGTCAGAAGAATGTAGCACAACTACCAAGCCAAAGGATGTCACAGCAAGCCTTGACAAATCTCTCGAATCTTCTATGTCTGTAAAACAAGGATTAGTGACTGAATGATAACTAAATCACCATGAGATTCAATGATCATTAAATCATTCTTGCATGGGACACTTAATGCACACCGTTGTGGTGTTGAAAGTAGAATGAATAAACTTTCTAGTGACCCCTGGTTTATGGTAGTTCAAATCAATTGGGTTCTTGCAAAACAATAATGATATGGCTCATCGATCCAGATGGTTACCCTGTGACTATTGGGTTACGGATTTCAACCCAGCTCCACCTATCAAGATTTAAACAGTCAGGTATCATCAGCCTTCACACAATGGGTCTGGCTCATTGCTTACTTCACAAATCTGCACATTGTTGCTGAGTGCATTTCATACTTTCGGAGAGAATCAACAAAATAGGAGCACTGTTAAATTTATTTTTCATAAAATAAATAAAATAAATGATTCATGAGTTCAGTGCCATTCACGCGTACCGGATCATTAAGGCTACTTTTGATAGATCTCGAATCAACTATCAAAACAGCAGAGTGCATGAGATATAGTGACCTTCAAATAAAGTATCAATTTTGAGTTCAAATTTCACATAAAGTTAAGAATACATCGATGGTGTGAATGAAATTAGTATGACCAAAGTTACACGATATTCACCACTTTAGAGTGATGTGCTTATATCAAACTGGGATCATACTATTAGGTGAAATATGCACGTGTTTTTCTAGAGATGTGCCACACATGCTTTATGTACTTCTGACCAATTTAATCTCACCTGATAAAAAGATGACTCCATTTATGTGAGTTTCATATTGATGCTGTAGGAAATTTTTTAGCGTAACGCAAAATTCAGGATTCCAGCTGTCAAACATTTAAATTTAACCGCCTTTTAGAACATTTTCGGTATTTCTAGGTTACATCTACCTCCATATGAATATAGGTTATATGATACTACAAACGACTGTCTCTACAGAATGCGGTTTATGGTGTGCCGTATTACTCCTGAGATCCTCTAGAATGCACGAAATCCCTGAAAACGTTCACAAGCAATAAACACACTGCGAAATTTCAAAAAGATTACATGATCGTTTACGAGAATGTGGGAATGATTAATAAGACATAATCGACAGAAAATAATCTTCTAGACAGACGTTGAGATAGTCAAGATGGATATATATATTGCATCAGCCGTTCACGTTATATTGAATCTGAAAGGTGTTTCGTCCGGTTCGTAAATACGTTTTCTCAGTAATCCAAAAGATTTCTAACCCTCTATCGCAGATGGGAATATCGGCAATGAGAAACTAAAACCACCCCAGTGCTTTCAGAAAGTAGAAAAATTGCTTCAAACTACCATGGTCGTTCATTATCTTGAACGTTAAATAATCCAAATCTAAGCTATCGCAGTGAGTTCCCTATGATTATATCAACTATTTTGTTTGTTCTGTGCGCTTGCTGAAAATGTGTTTTCTAAGTGTTTATCCCACCGTTGTTTAGCTAGCAGATCTGTCGTGAAATAAAATAAACTGTTGTGTAACTATCCTAAAGTTAACTAACTGTATATTTTTCAGTCACTCTTCAAATTTATGCAACTCCTTGATGTGTACACGCATATATGTCTACTTCTATGGTAAAAAGATCGTTTTGAAGGGTTGGACTTGCCGAGACTTTAAATAAAATGTATATTTCCCTACAGATTTCTTTTGTATCTTACAGTCCTGACATTGGTCACATTGCCCATTCATTTTTAGATTTTATACATTCCTTTATGGATTTCTGAAAATGCATCAACTATGGTGGGCTAGCTCGTAAACGTCAATGGTCTCCGTCAGATGACATGTTGGATAATATCTTTACGACACAATTCAAACATGCTTTCTTCTTATTGCATAAAACATTTCATAAATAGACAAAAGAAAACAAACCTTACGACATTTCTCAAATTCTCCTTCCCTATTATTTCGAACTCTTCAGATAGATTGGCCCGTGTATCCAAAACAGAATAATGTGCTATTTTTCGTTTGACGGCGCTGTTAAATTTAAGTTGGATGAGAACAGCAGATTTATCAATATACAACAGATTTCGTTGGATATGCATGCATGGGCATAATTTTCATATCTTAATGACTGGGAAAGAAATGGTGTGTTGACAAGTAGGATGAGCACTGCTGATGTACAAAAGGATCAGACTGATCCCGACCGATAGGTGCTACCTTGAAGTAGTGGTTGGGCTTGTAAATCACAATGACCCAACGAGTCATACTGGTAGAACAATTGTTCCCTCCAGATCCTATCATGCCAGAAAGATCTGTTAGACAGTGAATAGACAAAAAGCAGTCATAATTATAGTTAAATTGCTACCCGGCGATGGGGGTCTGAAGGCAAGGGTTCACTGCTAAATGAAAGGAGGTATGACATCAGTACAGTGTCTCCCTTGGATGACTATCAGTGTCACACTGATGCTTCTTTACCTACGAAAACGAATAGTTAGGACAGGTTGGCACTAAAAGTAGCACACTCCCATTCTTTCGTGGCTTGCCGACACCTGCACTAGGAATTCATCGTCGGATTCAAAAGCAAAAATCAAATTCTCAAACTTTCCGAGACACTGTGTATGACATACTTCAAACATGTGGTCACACACTATCTCTTCTTTTTCTGGTGGGTGAGGAAGAACTAGCCTTCCGAGGTTTGGGTAACAGGGAAGTGTCAACCGCTCGTATGATCCTAGTAGTGCACAAGACCCAATCAAACATAACTTATCCTCTTTAACTCTGCCTCCTGGTTTCCCTTCACCTCCTGATACTAATATTGGGATTCTGACGCTTTACTCAACCTCCAACTCTACAACCACTGGCCACGATCAAAGTCACGATCAAAACCTCATTCCTAGTCGCCTGAGATCCCGCCAACGATTTCATGTAGAAGCTTTCAATGTACAAACTCTATGCCAAGTCGGACAGCAAGAATCACTCCCCAGAACTCTGGAATCTCTAGCCATGGATATGGGCATTATCTCTGAGACACATATTCAGCACCTGAGTATGGCTATTAAACTGACCTCGCCTGACCAATGCGACGAATCTTCAAAATTCACCTCAAGAGTATCAGGAAACACAATGGCTAGCTTTTGTGGACTTACCAATGTAGGCAAGGAATTTAGCTGCAGTGCAGAAACTGCACTTCTCAACTGGATACCATTCAGCAGTTGTCTTTGTGCTATTCGACTGAATTGATCTATAGAGACTAGGAAGGATAGTGAGACTAGACGAAATCAATTTGTACTGTCCGCCTACACATCCAACGGATGATACAGAGGATGAATTCTACGAGGAGCTGTCAATTTTACTACAGAAAACAAAACCTTCAGATGTAGTTATAGTGGCGGATGACTTTAAAGTTCAAGTAGGAAAGCTGAGCCAATCGGAAAGGCATGTTGGAGGTGTCTACGGAACCCCATGCCAACGAACTGACAACAATGATCATCTGTTGCAATTATGCCACCACAATCACTTGTTTCTGGCCAGTACTGACTTTGAGCAGAAGGAAAGACATTGTCTCATATGGTGTCCGCCGACTTCAAACAAATGGCGAACACAGATAGATCATATTACTATTAGCCGTTGTTGGAGTGGATCGGTGGTGGATTGCTGCTCTTTCTGGAGTACCAGTTTGAGCTTCGATCATGCGTTCATACGTGCTGGTGTACATCTGTGCCTTACTGGTCACAAGAAAAGACGACAGTAAAGCATGTTTATGCTCGATTGGAAGACGGAGACCCCAAATACATATTTCGAGGGGTGCTGGTTAAGCATTTATCTGAACATGAGACCAACGCTTATTCTGAGGAAACTTAGTGTGGTATGATGTTAAGTCCGCTGTAGAAACAGTGGTAAAGACAGTTGGTAACCTACACCCGAAGTCCAACAAATGTCACTGGATTTCAGAAACATCATCTGGACTGATTAGTGTTAGAAGTCTGATTTCAGCTGACTCCGATCACAATAAAGAACGAAAGTAACTCAAAGATAAATTGGTCAAGAGTCTTAACGTATGTTGCTAGGAATGGCGGCTGGCAAGAACGACTGAGATGGAGAAGGTATCAGTAGTGGTTAACACCCAGCAACAATTTAGGTTTATTTAGGGTACTGGCAAGAAGAAGATGATGGTGAGTGAAACCATGACCGAAAAATATGGTACTCTTATGACCTCTCAGGACCCATGGCTGGAACATTGTAGTACAGTGTGACTGGCCCACAGTGACGCTTCATCTGCCCATCATTCAACCTGAACCTGAATGGGATATAGATATTGTGTCTCCAACTCTCACTAAAGCTGGGAAGGCTGTAGCAAACCTTAAACGATGCGAAGAAACAGGATTTGATAGTTTACCACCCAAAGTATCCAAGGATGGAGGTAGGAAACTGCTGATAGGAGTGACGGAAGTACTAGGTAGCCTAAAGGAAGTAGAGGTAGTGCCGTCAGATTGGTCTACTTCACTGATCATTCAAGTGTACAATAAGGGAGAAAAGTCTTCCTGTGACAAACATAGGGGAATTAGTTTGGATTATATTGCATCCGAGATCCTAGGATCCATAGTTATCCGATGCCTAACTGGAGCTAGAGAACACCAAACTCGAGAAAATCAGACAGGTTTTAAACCTGGACGAGGATGCATTGACCATATTTTCACCCTCCGACAGGATCTGGAACACAGGCATACTTACTGGCGGCAGATACTTGCCATATTTCTCGACCTGCAGTGGCATTTGACTCTGTCGTCTGTGGCAGTTTTTGACTGTGAAGGGACTACCCACAAAGTATATCACACTAATCAAAACTCCCTACCCAAACTCACACAGACAATATCAGCGTTTACGGAAAGTTGTCATGCGAATTGACGACAACCAGTGGAGTCCACCAGAGATGCCCACTTTCACCATTCCTAGTTAGCTTCGTCATAGACGTACTAATGGACATAACATCAGGTACGTCTAACTTCAAAGAGGCTATCTGGTTGGCATGGAGTATGCAGACGATATTGTTCTGCTGGGTGAAGATGCTGACAAAATGAAGGGGCTTCTGGACGCGTTGAGCAGAAATCTGAGTATCTTCAGTATGAGTTTCACTGGCATCTGTCAAATGTAAGATGATCCTCTAGGACTACCCTGCAACCAATCCCAGTTTAAAGAAGGACAGGGAGTGGAATGGTGGGATGTGTCGACCACTTCACTTACTTAGTGAGCTGCGTCAACCCACCGAATGGGCTTTTTGCTGACGAAATCTCAGCTCGGATAGAGAAGGCCTGCTCAGCATTTGCCAACTTGTGTCATCTGTGACGCCGACTGGTGAGATATCCGACTATCTATCAAAGGACGAGTATAATTCACCATATTCCATCCCGTCATGTTATATGACTGTTGAAAGTAGAAAACATGAAGCGGCTGCAGGGTTTTGGTTACAGATATCTTCATAGCATTATTCGTGTTTGGTGGAATCACTGTGTGAGCAGTGTTGAGGCCATGTGAAGGGTACTAGGCAAGACAATTATGTCCATTGATGAGGTTTTGAACCTTAGTCAACTGAGATGGCTTGGACAGGTACTGTCGAAGCCCAATCATGGACTATCTCGATGGATGAAGTTGGAAGAGGATTCAGGATGACCAGACCAAGATCTGGAACCAGTTCGTGAAGTCCGTGACTGTTGGTCTGAGTCTTGTTGGGAGATGTAGATTGGGGTTATCGAGAAGAAGGAAATTAGTTGTTGAGGATTCTTGAAGACTTGGCTGAAAATAGGTCGTAATGGCGCATATGTACTGAATCTCTGACGTCTTCTAAAGCTTGAGTGGTTGAACTAACCTTTATCTTTAAATTGTTTATTGTCATACAACCTGGTCTACTTGGATGTCAATCTTTTTGTATGCAGCTGTTCTTTGTATACTACTGTAAAATGTGGCAACTCCAGCTGATGCACTTATGTGCAAGGTTCTACGCTGATTCTGTCTGTCTATCTATAGGACTGAGCAAAGGAAATGATTAAATCTAGCTAGTCAGTGGCTCTATTAGTCAGATGATCGCTTTGATACACTCAAGCCTGCTACACACATTCAACTGAACCACCTATACTTGACTAGCTAGATGAAATGTCCAAATAAAAGTGATAATTCAATAATTCCATACTACCGAACAAGACATATGATAGATATTATCAGTTATTTTCATTATTAATACTATTCTCATTTAGCATACTCTTCATTAAGTTCAATCTCAAAGCTACCCAGATGAAGAACAACCCTAGTAACATCTACGGTGACTCAGATGACTAACATTTTCAAATCATAGTCGGTGTAATTAGGAGCCCATTGTAAAGAAGATTAGTACTTACAAACAGACTTTATATCGATTGAAATATCACTTTGTACAACCATGAACAATGAATTGTGTCCACCTAACAGCCATAGACCACTTTATCTTCCACCTGATCATCAATTTTAATTGGATTCCATCTAAATTTATGGTCGCTACTACCCATTAATTTATTTCTAGTGACTTTAAAAGCCACCCTAGCAACTGTTGAAATAACCAGTCGGATTTCATAGTTTCGGTTAAGAGGTCAGTTCCTCATAAAACAAAGAAAAGTAATTGATTATCTCAGCAGTTGTTAGAGTAGATTTTGAAGTCACTCACTCATTCATTTCACTGCTTATACTCTGGACATTCCGCTTAACAAGTTTGTAAGAGCAACCACTCAGGAAAGCAGATACTAGATAAACACCTGACTGAAGTGAATTTCATTGGTTGATTGCCAACTTACAGCAAGACACACAGTACATGATCAGCGAATGAAAAAAGACAATGACGACAATGAATTATCTTATAGTGATTAGTTTGAGTATTTAAAGCACATTCTTTCCTGAAAGTTAAGCTTTCTTTTCTACTTTGAATAATGGATGGTGAACAAATCCAAGTAGGTTTATTGTTCAGTCATATAGTTGTGTGAATAACTTAATCGTTTTCTTTTACTGTATGTTACAGAGAATCCAATCACAAGTAGATACATTTTATTGAGTTATTAAACAATGTCCAGCATTGTAACTTGATCTGAACTTTTAGTTTATGAGTGGTAGTGACTCTGATAATAATAAGTATGAAGCGTTTGTATTAGTGCATCTCACAAACAGTGAATCTTCACGTTTTCAGCATAATTTCCTGCTCTTGTGTTATCATCATCAACATTGCTGCCCTGTACATGTTTCCTCCAGTACATAAAGGGAGATTATTGAAGTAATAACATCATTTATAGAGTGCTGGTTAGCATTACCAGTGTAAATTGTTGATAGTTGTCTAGATGAATGCGGTATATCAGTAAATGCAAAATCTTTTAGATTTTGTGAGTTCGTATGTCTTCATGTTTGCAATGCTTAGACAGCGGTGTAGATGTCAGTCACGGAAACAATTTGTACTTTTTCTAACAAACCACTTGGTCTCAGTGAACGAATTATGGTAGTTAAGTTGCAGCCTTATGTTACAGATCGTTTCAAGCACTGAATAGCTGAATTGACGGAGAGTTGGCTAATTAATACCAAAACATTTTGATCATGGTTGATTGAGTGAATATACACGTCAGGAGCTATTTACCTTTGCTACGATTCGCATAAATTACCCACCAAATTACAATGTGAAATAGCATATTAGTTGAGTAGAATTTTTGTTGTTGTCATTGTTTTTATTTTTCAGAACTATATAATTCGTTATCCTATATCCAATGTTTTGTTGCCACTATTCTCTGTAAAAATGGTCACTCTCCAAAGTGTCACTCAATGTATTGAAATATTATCTATGCTGAAACCTGGTAACAAGATAAACTGGTTTATTCATGAAGCTGAAAGTGTGTGAACTCTAATTAGATTTTGTTACTCAGTGACTTTAATGGCTACCCTAGCAACAGCTAAAGTAACCAATTAGGTTCCTCTTTTCCAGCTGGAAAAGTAGTTTATTGTAAAATAAGGAAGCCTAATTTGTTATTTCACAAGTAACTACACTGGTCTTTAGAGCTATTCGTATTACCTAAAAGCTGAATCTGAACATCTCACTTTTGATGGTATCGTTTAATTAGTGTTTGCCATAGAGGTGAGAAGTCTCCTCCTTTTTTGTTTAGTGCGTAGGTGGGGTGTGTAGGGCTCCTGAGGTTGATCTTTCTTTCTGTAAATAAAACCTCTTTTCTTACATAATCGAAATTAATAGTATATCCACTTTCACTTACATGTTTGACTATTGTAGCATTTTAGGTGCCAACAACTTTCTCCAATATAACTAGCTCCATATTCTAAGCATTAACTCGTATTCTGTTGTCTTTCACTTTAATTAAGACCTTTTCCAAACAATACGAAGACCTGAGATAGACTTAAATACCAGAGAGAACAATACCCTTTGGATCTGCTGAGAAGTACCTCTTTGATATGATATTTTCTGCTATAGTGCTGTTTGGTCGTATGCAGTCATTGCTGCCATTCATTACCACTGTAACGGTGAACATACTGATATGACTTATATCACCTGGTTTAGCTGATAACAATAAATATAATACAAAGGTGAATTAACAACTGTCAACTATAAGGAACATTGTATCGAACAAACAGACTAAAGAACAATAATCGTTGAAGCATGTAAAACTGAGTACAAAATAATACTGTAAAATACCGTTAAACAAAATACAATTATTGGCTAAAGTGTGTTTGACCGAAGTTTATATCTTCGTTTCCTTATAACTGTTACAACCCTGAGCTGACCAACTAAACCTCCTGTTGCTTTTTTGTGTAGGTCAGCTGACGTTACTCAGTTTCGGAAGTTACATTTAGACGATGTTTGCTTCACAGCTTGATCCAAGTACCCAGGAATCAATATCCTTACTTAAATTATAAACCCCTACAGAATATTAGATTTGTGGTGATTAAAATGTATGGTGACCAGTTATTACACAAAAGTGGAAGTAGATTCTATTGGAGGGCACCCTTATTTTAACGACTATTTTTAAATCCAGTGTTATTTGTTTTTTTTTAAAAACTGCCTACAGCTCTTTTACTTTAATGCACGTGCACGTGGAGAAGCTATCCGAATGACTCTTGTGGCAGCGGGAATAAAATACGAAGATGTGAAGATCGACTTCTGTAACTGGCCTAAATCAAACCCACAATACCTGGAGGACGCCTACCTATAGTAAAGATCACAGATAAAGATGGAAACGAGAAATTGTTGACTGAGAGCCTGGCTATTGCGCGTTATTTTGCAAAGAAGAGTGATATGATGGGTAGTACGGATGATGAGTACTATAGTGTTGAGAAATTGATTGGTCAGGTGAGTAAAGAAGTTAGCAATGTCTTCAGTTTAGTTCAGTGAGACTCTTTGTAGTTGAACTGATAGCTAAATGATAACATTTGTTCCTTATAATGTGCACTCAACCGTTACTGCCCTACTAATGGCGCTCAGACTTCATGGATTATATGGATAGGTATTGAACAAAATAACTAAATTTCTTTCTGACTACTATTATTTGTATGTGTATATGAAGATTATTTTTTCGTACAGTTCTTGAAGCTGCGACACACTGGTTCTGCTACTCAACTGTCAACCACTAAGCCACGTGCCGAAACCGACTTCGCCTGCATCGACTTCGATAACTGGGCAGTATCGTGAGTCCACATGCTTTCAGTGAGGCTCATTAACTAGTACACTAACTGTACAGAGTTGATAATTCGTACTGGAATTTAGGCTTGTTATAATTCTATACTTAGTCATGAGTTTTTGATTGTGGCGGGAATATCCAATCTATTCATTATGAAATTTATCCATTGAATTACAGACCTACTAGGATGTAATTTCCCGTTTCTTGAAGCAGTACACCACCACCTCGCCTCTCATTTCCTACGTGGCCGCTTCCGTGTATACACACCACTATAGTATTTAATTTTCGAGCAGGCATATCAGTCTACTAAGGGTTTTGCTTGATTTCCCCTAATATTTAATCATAATTGCAACTGGTCATAATTTTTAAACATTTGCTCTTAAACACACAGGTACAAGATTTGGAGAATGAATACTACAAGACTATGAACAAGCCACAGGATGAAAAAGAGAAAATCACCGAGGAAATATTGAGTGTCAGAGTCCCTTTTCTTCTTGGGGTGAGTTGAATTAAAATACTTTGGTTATGCTCTTTGTATATGTGACTATCCACTTTCTGTAGAAAGTAACTGTTTATGCTACTTTAAACTGAGTGTTCATGGTTTGAACTGGTCTGATCTGCTGTCAATTGAGATGATGTTCAAAATGCTAGGTCAAGCAATGTGCAAATGTTTCTGCACGTATCTGTTATTCACGGTGTTCAAATGTATCAATTACAGTACATAGTGATCTAGACATCTTTTTTCGCAACCAGCTTGAACTTAAAACAAGAATTGATAGTTTTTAGGAGATATTAAATTCCTCAGAGGCAAAATTTTCGGTGGATGGCGACCAAATATCACATTGCTTTGTGCTTCTACTTCGAACTGATCAATTCTAGTTTATGAAGTCATTTGGAGAGCGACTTATCATTGTGGAATTCTATTCTATATCAGTAGTCTAGTCTATCCAAGACAATTAACATAAATTGCAAAATGGGAATCAGAAAGAATATCGGACATTTCTGTAGCAAATGCTGTGTCCATCACTGACATGCAAATATACCCAATATTGTTTAATGTATGACGTCATGGTTACAATGTGATTTTCATCACATGGAGCTCCTAATTCCACAAACCACATGTCGGAAAACCATATGTGAAATTGTAGAACATATCCAGTATACTAACATATTGATCGTCTCTCTAACGCACAGAGATTTTCACAGACTACTGCAGTAGGAATGCAACAGGATTCCATATTGACCTGACAACTTACTTTGTCATCATCCAACATACACCTATGAGCTGGCTGAGCTCTGCTATCATGTGAGAATTGGGGTGCTGATATACACTTCCTAATTCAATGGATAACATCTCACTTCCTACACAGTAATATGGTATATATATATATATATATATATATATATATATATATATATATATATATATATATATATATATATATCCTATTAGTTAGATAATGGTTAGTCAGTTTGTCCCACTTTTATTTATTGACTATTTGTGTGATATTGAGTGGACGTACAGAATGCCTTTACTGCCCATAACTTTCTACTGACAGGAATAGGGTGTTTATAAATATATATAGTTTTATTCTTTGGACATTAAACACTAAACAGTTTACTTACGGTACTTAATACTTCTCTTTTACTCGCTGCAATATGTTATTACCTGTGTTTTACTATAAGCTTTAGATTTCTTGTTCCACAGGGTTAATATTTATTTATCGTAAGCACAAATGGTTCACTAGTTCCATTTATCTTTAGCTGTTCACCTGATTGATAACATAATTGTACTCTAAAAAGTGGCCAATCTACTTAACCGCCTATTCCTTATTTTTTATATGTCTTTAGATTATCTGTGAATCTCTGAGAGAATCAAAAGGCGATTTAGCTGCGGGTGACAAAGTCACCCTGGCTGATTTGGTTCTGATTGCAGCCATTGACCATGTGATCGATTTAGACGGAGGATTCCTGGATGGTAAATATCCAGAGATTCACAAGCACCGAGAAAATCTTCTGAAAAATTCGCCGAGATTGGCGAAGTATTTATTAGACAGGCCCGTAACTGCATTCTGAGTGAGATAGTGAATCCGAAAGAGAAGGAAGTCGGGGTAGAGAAGAAGACAATAACGATGTTATATTCTGTGTTTACGAACGAGTTTTCGTCTCATTAGCTTTAGTTCCTATCTCTGTTCTTCATACATATTTTTTTGTTTTTCATCGTCTTTCTGACGTTTTGTTTTTTGCCGTCTTCTCATTTTAAAATAAAGTTTGATTACTCTTTATCTTAATTACTTGACCTTAAGTGTCACCGATTCCAAGTAGAACTAAAAGCAAAACAACTTGTTTTCACGTTGTTCTGTTGTTGGCGGCAGTGGCTATTATTTTTTCAAAGAATGTATGAATAGTAATCGAGATACAGTATTCATCGTCATATATTTGCTCCGTTTCCGTCTTTCTCACAAGACTAATCAGGTTGCACGTTTAAAGCTCAATAGAGGAACAGCTAAGTATCGGTTGAACCTCGCCTGGTTAACTAGTTTACTAGTTACTAGCCGGTCCTAAGCCCGGGTAAAGAGGGAAGGTTGGGCATAGGGCTAGCAACCCTACCCCGTAAAACAAATCTAACCGCTAAAGAAACTTCAAAGCACAAACAAAATATAAAAAATGAAAACAAACTTATTCCCCGCTGGAATCGGAGAGGCGAAATGACGCCAGTTGGTGAAAGCCTTCGGGAAGCCAATTGGCCGATGTGTCTTCTCTCGATGAAAGCGAAAGTAAACGTGGGGACATGGAATGTCCGCACGATGTTTGAACCCAGTAAGGCAGCCCAGATTGCAAAGGAGATGAGAAGGTATAACATCGAAGTGCTTGGGATTTGCGAAAGCAGATGGAATGGGAGTGGACTCTCCAAACTGTCAACGGGAGAATCAATAATCTACTCCGGTCACCCAGACGCCAACCACGAGCACACTGAGGGAGTGGCTATCATGATGTCCTCAAGAGCATCGAAGGCTCTCATGCAGTGGGAACCAATCTCCTCCAGGATCATGTCAGCAAGATTCAACTCAAAAGGAAGAAAGGTCACAATCATACAATGTTATGCACCTACAAATAATGCAGAGCAAGAGAAAAAGGAGGAATTCTACAGACAACTTCAGTCAACACTGGACAAGACGTCAGTTGGCGATATCAAAATTCTAATGGGCGACATGAATGCCAAACTGGGAGGGGACAACACGGGAAGAGAACTAACCATGGGTCGAGAGGCGCTAGGTGAAATGAATGAGAATGGAGAATTGTTTGCAGAATTCTGTGCATTCAACGATTTGGTGATTGGAGGCAGTGTGTTCAGGCACAAGGATATCCACAAAGCGACATGGATTTCACCAGATGGACACACTAAAAACCAAATCGACTTTATCTCAATCTCAAGAAAATGGAGACGCAGTCTACTTAACACAAGGTCAAGAAGAGGAGCAGATGTAGGTTCAGACCACTATCTAGTGCAAGGAACCTTCGAAATCAAGTTAAAAGCCTTCAAGGAAGCTGGTGATAGACCTCAATTCAAGTACAACACTCGGAAACTGAAGGATGAAACTACAAAGGAGATCTTCAAAGCAGCCATCAAGACAAAATGGGAGACGTCGAGGGACATCCCTGAAGAAACCTGTGTAGAAGAACACTGGAAGTCTTTGAAAGCTATGTGGAAAGAAACCTGCACAACAGTATTAGGAAGGAAGAAGAAAGAAGACAAGGAATGGATCTCGACGGATACCTGGAAGCTGATAGAGGAGAGGAGGATGGTGAAGCAGAAGATAAACCAGTGCAAGGATGCTCAACGACAAGAGGAACTGAGCACAATGTATAAAACACTGGATAAAGAAGTGAAGAAGAGTGCACGCAAAGACAAACGACACTTCTACGACACACTGGCAAGTGAAGCAGAACAGGCTGCAGGTAAGAGAGACCTGACGACATTGTATCAAATAACCAGGTTGCTATCAGGGAAGAGACCAACACAGATGAAACCAATAAAAGATGAAGAAGGAAATTTAATTACAAAAGAAGAGAAACAGAGGAAACGATGGGCCGACCACTTCAAGAAGCTCTTGAATCGACCACCACCTGCACTTCGTCCAGAAATACCACCTGCAGCCGCTGAATTACAAGTGAACATAAATCCCCCAACGAAAATGGAAGTCCTGAACGCCATAAAGCTACTGAAATGCGGGAAAGCAGCAGGACCAGATGGAATACCGCCAGAAGCACTGAGAACAGATGCAGAGACAACAGCGGACATGCTCACACCACTATTGCAGAAGGTGTGGAGGGAAGAGAAGGTACCTGACGATTGGAAGAAGGGTTACCTTGTCAAACTGCCGAAGAAGGGAGACCTCAGTGCTTGCAAGAACTGGCGAGGAATCACTCTCCTATCCACCCCAAGTAAAATATTAAGCCGCATCATCCTGGAGAGGCTTAAAGACGCACTGGATTCAAAACTGCGACCGGAACAGGCAGGCTTCAGGAAGTACAAATCATGTGCTGACCAAATTGCAACGCTTCGTATCATCATAGAACAGAGCGTAGAATGGCAATCAGCTCTATACCTCAACTTCATCGACTTTGAGAAGGCCTTTGACAGCGTCGACCGAGAAGTAATTTGGAAACTGCTTCAATACTACGGAGTACCGCAAACCTTTATCCGCCTCATTCAACAACTATATGAAGATGCCACATGCCAAGTAATCCACAATGGGAAGCTCAGTGATGCCTTTGAAGTGAAGACAGGAGTGAAACAAGGTTGCCTACTATCCCCCATGATATTCCTAATTGTGGTGGACTGGATCATGCAGCAAACAGTAGGCAGCGAGAAGAGGGGGATACACTGGACGACGGAAAAGAACCTAGAAGACTTGGATTTCGCCGATGACTTATGCCTAATGTCACATAAACTTGAAGATCTGCAGGCAAAAACTAACAAGTTGACAGAAGAGGCAGCTAAGACGGGACTTCAGGTGAATATAGAGAAGACAGAAGTGATGAAGATACCGCACCACCACCATCAACAACAACAACAAACTCCAATCACCGTCAACGGTAGAAACTTGAAGGAAGTAACCTCCTTCACTTATCTAGGAAGCACTGTTTCAACTACAGGCGGGACGGACGAGGACGTCAAAGTCAGAATCGGAAAAGCAAGACAGGCATTCATTAGCCTGAAACCAGTGTGGAGATCTTCTGCACTCAGCATGCGGAACAAGATACGGATTTTCAACACCAACGTCAAGTCAGTGCTCTTGTATGGCTCAGAGACTTGGCGCGTCACGAAAGGCATTTCCAATAAACTACAGACATTCATCAACAACTGCTTACGCTCGCTGCTGAAGATCAGATGGCCAGAAAAAATAAGCAACAAGGAACTCTGGGAACGAACCAACCAAGAACCTATCACGCAACAAATATGCAGGAAGAAGTGGAGATGGATTGGGCATACACTGAGAAGGCCGACTGAGGACATCACGCGTCAGGCCCTCGAGTGGAATCCCCATGGGAAGCGACGAGTTGGACGTCCGAGGGTGACATGGAGGAGGTCGTGCGAGGAGGAAATGAGAGCTTCTGGGCTGTCGTGGAACCAGGTTCAAAAGATCTCAGAGAACAGAGGTCACTGGAGGCGTGCTACTGAAGCCCTATGTTCCACTAGGAACCCAAGGGACTAATAATAATAATAATAAGTATCGGTTGAGGATCATATCCATTTTGTTTTTCAGTATCATTCAAACTGTTTACGACTGCATACTATGATAATGTGCATAATCGAGTTAAGTAATGTACAAATTTGGTATAGGAATAGGACTTACATCTCTCATCTAGAACTTCATGATTAGTGGATTACGCTGCAGCTTTGCATTCAGAGGTTTCACTGAAAATGTACACACTATATACGGTTAGAATCCATACACAATAAACTGCGTATTTAGTCTGTATACTGCCTAATCACTCAGTTGATAGTTAAACTAGAGACTGTGATAATGTAGTCAGTTAACAACCCAAACAAATTCAGCCTATTTCATCGACTAACTGACTAGTCAGTGATCGGTGTACTTCCACCTTCACTGAGTTTGATTCGAATGCGTACCAAGAGTTACTCATCTTTAAAGTTTGTTGGAGATCATTGACTTTATCAGTTATTCATGAAATATTCTAACAATGATCAGTGGTTTCCCAAAGATTAAGTTCAACTTCACTCAGTAGACTATGGGTGGCGTAATATAATGCGCTTGAGTAGAATAAGTCAGCGTATAAATTACCCATTTGTTTAGAGAAACTATCAAAGCAATGAAAACAGAATGTCACGAAAGCCTCAAGCAAGTTAGTCGAAAATGATTCAATTTTTATAGTAATTTAAAGTCTAGTTAACAATCCCGAGAAGACACCGATGCAGTAGTGTATATTGAGAGCTATAACTCAGTGACTTGCTCCCACCGCCACCTGTCAGTGCTTCACAAGTCTGAATTATTCTCTATCCAATAACACTTACTTAAGCGGGTGATATTATTAGAAGGCATCTAGTGAATATGGCTTAATTCAGGACATTAATATAAGGATAGAATTAGGGTACTGTGGTAGGGTAAAATTGCATTATGGTTCTTTTATTATGTTACAAAGGGATACAGTATTGTTTACTGGATGACGTTCCTAGTAGAGTTCATCGCTCAAAAATATATCAAGGTAATCATGAAACCTTCTGATGTGGTTTTGCAGTTTTCATCCTTGTGTGTAACTGGAAGTAAAGGTTGCCGAGTTTCACGAATTGTCGTTGCATTATTCCTACTACATGTGTTGGGTTGGTGTCTGTTCGATAACCAAAGTTTCAACGTATCCTGCCTGACCAAAAAGCAACTGAATGGTTTGGGAAGTCTTAGGCACTCAGCTAATGTGTTTCATTTTAAAGGGTGTATTTTAATTGTGTAATCTCGTAAAATAAACAGATATTCTGTATAATTCCTCAACTTTTTGATCTTGCTAGAAAGACCCTATTCGAGAGTATGAATCTGATTCGTATGGAATTAGATTCTACTAAGCTGTCGAAATTCTATACTGACAGTATGAATCTGAAATTAAGTTTTCAGGTTAATATTCAAGTTTGGCACAGAAGGTGACCATTATGATCATCCACTCAGATCACCATATAGAATCAGGATCAATATAACATAGGTGAATGATTTAACAAACCAGTGAAACGATCTCATTCAAGTTGTGCGAATAAGGTAGTACGAAAATA